TGAGTTTTGGGTCGATATTCTCCAGCAACTGCAACACATTCTCTAGCGACCTCAAGATCGAACGAGTAATCTTCTCTAACCCGTCACCTTCAGGATCCCGAAACCACCTTGTCAGATCTTCAAATTACCATTCACATTCACATTCGCCACCATGGGTTCTCAGGTTGACGACAGAGATTTCACGACTTTGCTGTCTGAGCTCACGCTTGAGGAGAAGATCACTCTCCTCTCTGGCCGTGACTTTTCCACGGCAGCAGGCGTCGCTCGCTTGAACATTCCTCCCATCAGAGTGAGTTTGTCCCAAGACCCTTTGGCGCAAACCGGGCGCAGAAACGAAGAAGCGAGCTGACATTTCCACCCATAGGTAGCAGATTCAATCGCCGGCGTGCGCCCCTCAGGGATCACAGCCGACCTCACGACAGCGTGCTTCCCCAACACAGCCTGCCTTGGATCGACATGGGACGCCGAGCTCCTCGGCCGCCTGGGCGAGCGCCTCGCTCACCAGGGCCGTGAGAAGAGCGCTCAAGTCGTCCTAGGCCCGACGATCAACATCCACCGAGACCCCCGCGCGGGGCGCAACTTTGAGTGCTTCAGCGAGGACCCGTTGCTGTCTGGACAGCTGGCGGGTGCCATCGTCAACGGTATTCAGAGCCAGGGTCTTGGGGCCTGCCCCAAGCACTTTGTTTGCAACGATTCGGAGACGCTGAGACACTTTTACGATGTTGACGCGTCGCCTGACAGCCGACCGCTGAGGGAGATTTACATTGCTGCTTGGCAGCACTTGTTGCGGACTTCAAACCCTACTGGTGTCATGACTGCGTAAGGCTCTTTCTGCTCTTTCTACGGATACATATCTGCGCCATCTATGGAGCTTGAAAGTCTGTACTAACAACGATTTGGCACAGGTACAACAAAGTCGACGGCACATTCTGCAGCGAACACGGTCCCCTCATCGAAGGCGTCTTGAGAAAGGAGTGGGGTTTCGAGGGCATCGTCATGTCCGACTGGTTCGCCGTCCACAACGTGGTCGAGCCTGTCAAGGCCGGTCTCGATCTTGAGATGCCCTTCCCCGTATTCCGAGGCAAGAGACTCGCCGAGGCCGTACGATCGGGCCAAATAACCGAAGCGGAGATCGATGCCAGGGCGCTCAAGATGCTGGAGCTGCGAAACCGCACGCGGACCAGCTTCAGCGACGAGCCTGAAAGATCCGAGATTAACGAGGAGACGAACAAGATCTCCAGGGAGCTCGCGGCGAGTGGCATCATCCTGCTCAAAAACGATAACCAGGCCCTGCCCATCAACCCCGCAGACAAGCCCAAGGTTGCCCTCATTGGCGAGTTTGCTGGATCTCCCGTTGTGACTGGCGGTGGAAGCGCGTCTTGCACGCCCCAGTACCGCCACTCGCCGTTCAAGGTCTTGAAGGAGGCCTTCTCTGGGGAAGAGAGCGTTCGCTACCACGCCGGTGTTCGCACACGCAGAGTCATTCCCGTTGCTCCCACTGCGCAGCTCACAGCACAAGACGGACGCAACGGCGTCGACGTGAAGTACTACAACGACGACACCCCGGAGCCGATCCTCACCGAGTTCCAGGAGAAGGCCAACGTCTGGATGCTGGGCGAGTTCAAGGCCGGACTCAAGGTCCCTGGCTCTCGCTTCGAGCTTCTTACCAAGCTGACGCCCCAGACGACTGGCGAACACACTCTCGCGGTGCAGGCCACCGGAGATTTCTCCCTTGTCGTTGACGGCAAGGAGATTCTGTCCGGTCCTCAAAAGAAGATTGCCACGGAGCAGTTCATTTTCAACCATGTCAAGCTCGAGACGCGCGTGCAGCTGCAGATGAACGCTGGCCAGGCTTACGACGTCAAGCTCGTCAACAAGTCCTGGGATCACCTGGTCAAGGGCGAACCCACTCCCTACGCGGCATCAATCGGTTTCGAGGAGCACCGCTCCGACGAGGCCGCCATTGCCGAGGCTGTGGAACTCGCCAAGGCCTCAGATGTGAGCATCATCTACGCCGGCCGCAACGAGCAATACGAGTCGGAAGGTTACGATCTGGAAGACATCCGCATTCCGGAAAACCAAGCGGCGTTGATCAAGGCCGTCGCTGCCGTATCAAAGAAGACCGTCCTGGTGCTGCACTGCGGCAACCCCATCGACATCAGCGCTGTCGTGGACGACGTTGACGCGGTGCTCAACGCCCACTTCCCCGGCCAGGAGGGCGCGCAGGCGACAGCGGATATCCTCACCGGCGCAACAAACCCCAGCGGACGCCTCGCGACGACGTGGTTCAAGTCGCTCGAGGATGCCCCCACCTATGGTGATTTCCCCGCTACCAAGCAGGAGGACGGCACCCACAAGTTCCGTTATGCTGAGGGGATGGGCATGGGATACCGTCACGCTGAGGCGGCGAAGCGCTCCCGCTTCCCCTTTGGGTACGGCCTTTCATACACCACCTTCAAGTACTCTGATCTCACGACTAGTGTGACTGGGGCAGACAACGACGCGAAGCTCAAGGTTTCTGTCAAGGTGACCAACTCGGGAGACCGCGCCGGAAAGGAGGTCGTACAGCTCTACGTTAACCCGGCAAAGGAGACGCCCGCCGCCGTCTGGCGACCGGAGCGCGAGCTCAAGGCCTTCAAGAAGGTTCTGGTGCAACCTGGCGAGTCGGTCGCGGTGGAGCTTGAGGTCGACGCCAAGATCGCGTGCAGCTACTGGGATGAGGCGGAGAAGGCTTGGAGGCTGGAACGGGGGACATATGGCGTCCGGGTCGGAGATCTCCAGGGTGAGTTCTCGATCAGCGAGGGAACGACTTGGGGTGGGCTGTAAAGAGTGAAGAAGAGTTCGGTTGGTGTGTGGCGTGTGACACGTAGGAGACGGACTTTGTTCTGGACCCTTGTCAAAGAGCCATTGATATTTGTAGTTTGCGTGCTGCGACATTGTATGTTAACCGGATACCAGTAATCTGTCATCAAATCTTCAAAGTGTCTAGCGCTAAATGTCTTTCATCTTCCCTTCCGGCAGGATATTGTCCCGAGGCGGACCAACGTAGACCACCAAAGCTCAAGTGAGACGCTAGGTAGGTGGTGCTGCGTACGCGCCGTGCCGGCTCCCCTCGATCCTGATCGAAGTGATGATTCTCAACATTCTCACTCAGTCATCCCAACCTGATGTGGTGGGATTGGAGCTTGAATACATGACCAACGATACTGGTGATCAAGATATCAGTCAGCAGATCATCCAATTGATCAACGTTTACGGAGTACTCATCGGGAGATTTTGTCCACTAGCACTCGAACACAAAAGAAAGCTCGGCCGACGTCTTGCGACCGGTACCCGAACAACTCGGTATCGGTCCCCCCATCACCGAGTAATGAACGACATCATCAATCACCGCAGAGTAAGGTATTTGATCCCATCTTCAGAGCTATGCGGCCATGGGAAACCCTACACCACACCACTTCATCGCCAGAGTCCACGCGCGCCAAGGGGTCAGTGCTTGCTTTGATATTTGCACTCAGTGAACGGGACAGGGCGAGAGATGATCCTCAAGACAAGACCATCCGGCCCGGATTCGGGACCTGTATGCTCGGAGCGGGCGCCAGATCTACCTGCTCTATGATAGCACAGCCCGCTCGCGATCATGGAAGCTCTGGTCCGGTCTCGTTCACACATCATCACAGCGAAGAAATTCGTTTTTGGCAAAGACGAACCTAATGAACCGCGGGCGACTCAGGCGAAATCCACACCTAAACATGACCTAATCTTAAAGCATCGACGCCCACCTCGAGAATCGACACCAGCAATGATCCTAGTTCCACAAGCTCCCACTAATTATCCGAGACCTCTTCGTCCCATTTCGGCTGATTATTCCAACTAATCATCAAACAGCTTAGCATGTTTCCCTCCATCGTAGCCTGTGCGTTGACGCCCCATCCCACCGCTTTGGGGCCAGTGCCCTGTTTGATTCTTGAATCTTAGGCATGACGGGAGTTTAAATCTCCTTCAATCTGCGATCCAACCCTATCAATTCTACCGCGCCAGGCAACCTCTTACGGTAACACGGTAGATGAAGTAGGTACAATACTGGGAGGGGCAAGACGGAGGGGGATGGGTGGGGGGAGACAGACTTCAGATGATTCGCACGTCCTCGACCACAGAGAAGCTTGAATGTTGGCGGAGAGTTCGCGCCTGGTATATGCCCGTTAATCTTGTTCTACAGTTGGTGGCATCACCTTGGAAGAGGCACGGATGTTTCTTGGCTTTGGCTGCAGGTGAGTGACTCTTGTCTTCCACTCTGCCCCTCCACCATAGACTTCCTATCCTAGGGACTCGCGTTCTTAAGCAAATCAAGCATTCCACGATTGGCAAATCTTATTCCATCCCATCAACTTGGATTTTCGGCTTTACACTATCGAAACGGAGTTTAGTTGCTTCTCACTTCATACCAACAGGAAAGCTCACCACCCTCATCGTCACTTTGGTTTCGTCTCGTCCCGCTCAAGCCTGTCTTAGTCCACCTTTTCTTGGTGTAACCGGTAAATTCGTACTAACTTGGAAGACGGATGGGGACGCCTTCTTTCTGTGGCGTATTACACTGCCCTTGCAGTTCTCTCAGGGCTGGATGGGACGCCTTCTCCGGGACCTGTTCGCTTTGACCTGAACTAACCCAAAGAGACTCCCAACATCGGATTAGCCTGACCATCTTGCGACTTTGATTGATATGCCGTGCCATCTGCCCCCTTTTCCCCTACTGTTCCTGGGTTTCATTCATTCACCCAAACACAAGAGACAGAAACGAGTCCCACAATAGTTCACGGCCAGGACCCACGATCATAACGCAGCCCTACGGGACTACGGGACTACAGGAACTGGATCGCAACGCAAACATCAGTCCGGCTCGCGAGCGGCCACCCCTGTCGGACGAGCGTGGCGGACCCGCGCGGCGATGATCGCACGGCCCCACGGCGACGGCCACGGCTCGGTCGCATCACGAAGTAGACATGGATATGGAAGTGGAATCGGACATCATTGAGGACGGAGGCGCGCCGGGGTTCGCTCCCCATGGGAAGGCCGTCATAGCTTGCGCGACCATTTCGGTCGGACTCGCTGGTCTCATCGTCGGACTGCGGTTTTTCGCACGATTATATCCCGCGCGACTGCTAGGAAAGGAGGACTGGTGCATATTCATCGCATGGGTATGTCAAGTCTCGAGATCACGGCCCGACGCCGAGGTGAAGGGCAGGTGCCAAGGCAACCAAAATACCAGGCATCTGGGGTCCCTGGGCATCGATAACTTGAACTGGGCTAATACTCTGGTCAAACAGCTTTTCTCAGCGGCGACTTCTATTGGCATGTGCCTTCGTAAGTCAATACTCACTCTCCAACAGCATGGTAATGGTATGACTGACATAACGCAGAGGTCAAGACGGGCATGGCCGAGGAGTTCTCGACTCTCAGCGTTTATCAGCAACAAACCTTTTTCAAGGTATGATAACTCTAAAATCATTTTGCACGCAAGAGCCCAGCTAATCAACCCGAAACATAGTGGGCATACCTCACTATAATATTCTACAACACTGGCCTCGCCTGCGTCAAAGTCTCGATCCTCCTTCTCTACCTGAGAATCCTTAGAGACCTCAATTACCGTAAGGCATGCTACGTGGTCCTATTTTTCGTGGTGTGCGTGTCGCTATGGACGGTCTTATCCTCGATATTCTTCTGCGTGCCCATTACCAAGAACTGGGACCGTGCCGTCACTGGCGTCTGCTTCAGCCAGGGCATTGCCTGGTTCGTCAATGCCGCTCTGAATATCCTTACCGACTTTGCAATTCTTATCCTGCCATTACCGATTCTGCCCAAGATCAAGCAGTCTCGCCGGCAGAAGATTGGGCTATATCTCATCTTTGCGCTCGGCTTTTTGTAAGTGGTTCCGAGTACTCGTGCGGTCAACGTATCCATCTAACCAACATCCATCTCAGCATCTGCGTGGTCTCCATCCTCCGTATACCATCCCTCATCGTCGCGAAATACTCTCGCGACCCAACATTAGACAGCCCAGGCATAGCAAAATGGTCCGTCGTAGAATTAAACACAGCCATCGTCTGCGCTAGCCTCATCACTCTCAAACCACTCGCCATGCGCTTCTTCCCCCGCATGCTGGGCTCCAACCGCGGCGACGTCGGCCGACAGCGTGGCCCCGGATCCGAAGAGATACCCGCGACCGTAGGTTCTAAGGAAGCGCGAAACGGGGGCGTGAAGCATGGCCACGCGCGGGCGGTGTCTGACGGTAGTACCATCCAGCTAAACCACGATACCTTTGGAGGGGATTCGGCGATGCATACGCAGCATACGGAAAGCTCACGACTTAGTTCTGCGGGGACGTCGGATCTGGAGCAGGGGATGAAGGCGTCGGCTGTCGAAGTCGAAGGAGATTTGGCGATACGAACGGATAAAGCATGATTGAACATACCATTGTAACCAGATACCACTTTATTTTACGCTTTTGTATTTTAAGAAACGGTAATAACCGTATTTGTCCGACGCTAGCTGGCCGTGGAGAAGTTCGCGATGATCTTCTCGTACCTGTGCATGCTGGCCGTTGGAGATTGCGATTGAGTGCCGTGATGTTTCTTGGCCTGCAGGGATCCGCGTCCGTTGATCGCGAAATCAGCAAGTCTGCCATCCCTCCTCGGACAAGCCCCTCAACTGCCCGCACCTTATTCGTACCACATCGAGACGGATTGGTCCGCTTAACATCGTGAGAGAATGCCATTCTGGACAAGATGGTGTTTAATCAATACCAGAGCGATGACATAGGCTAAGACTTTCACCATCCGGCATTCCGCGTTTAGGTCAGAAGCTGCCCCTGGTCACGACCATGATTTAACGTTAAAAGCTCGTATTCACTCATCTCGCTATCCCGCTAGACCCGGAATTCCAGCAACATCCCCTGCTTCTCGATATTGCTTGCCTTAAAAAAACACCGAATCGCCCTATGGGTGCGTCGTTCAATGTCACCTCAGTGGATCACTCCCGCTGCAATGTGACAAGAATCACCACGGGATTAAAGATGCGCGACGGACCTTATTGGGCAGGTGGGATGAACGACATGCCGTGCTCCTTGGCAAATAAGGTCTATGGATACTTCAAAGAGATGCGGAAAGACTTAATCATTCCACGATGGCCGTCCCAAGGTAGTCGTGTACTTTCTGTTGTAGCATCTGCACGACTTTTACACTCGTTTCTGGATCGTGTTTCCCATCGCAGCCATGCGCGCAGCAGGGACAGCCATCGCAGCTTTGCTCTTCGGAGCCGCAGATGCTCTTCATCAATTCACACCCCGGTCTCTCAATGACACCACCAGTCCCAGCGATCCTGCGCCGAAGCGGTACATCGTCGAGTACAAGTCGCGCGCCCACGGTTCTCGCGTCGCCGCGAAAGTTGCTGCTGGGTTTCCGGGTCTCCGTGTCGTGAAGCAGTTCGACTCGGACATTTTCCCTGCCGTCACAGTCGAGTGCGATGGAGGATGCAGCCCCGAGTCCGTGAGAAGTGCGCTTGACGACGGCGACGAGCCTGTTGTTGCAACGGTCTACAAGTCTCAGGTCATGCAAATCCTTCCGACCGTCGAGGGCGAATCGTACAGCGATGATGCGGCGGCGCTGAATTACTCCGTCCATGGACTCACTGGAGTTGAGAAGCTTCACGAGGATGGAGTCTTGGGCGAAGGGGCTATTATTGCTATTGTCGACAGTGGTGTTCAGTACACTCATCCTGCAGTAAGTACTTCGACTCTGACCAGACTTGGTTGCAGATGATTAATCGAATGTAGTTGGGAGGAGGCATTGGTCCCAACTTTACCGTTGCTGGAGGCTACGACCTTGTTGGCGATGCTTGGCCTGATGCGCCAGCTCAGCCGGATGACGACCCCATGGATAGATATGGCCACGGAACTCATGTTGCTGGTATCATTGCTGGGAAAAGCGACCAGTAAGCAGCTCCAAGTTCCTACTTGCTCAAGATGCACAACTAACTCTGATCAGGTTCGTTGGCGTAGCTCCCAGAGCCAAGTTGTTGTCATTCAAGGTATTTGGCAGCAGTGGCTACTCAAACGAGGAGACAGTTATCGAAGGTTTCCTCAAGGCGTACGACTCTGGTGTAAGATGATGGGACATACTTTTTACAATGGGAGATCGACTAACACTGCGCCTAGGCCGATATCATCAGTGCCAGTGTTGGAGAAACCAGCGGTTTCACAACCAATGCTCTCGCTGTCGTCGCGTCCAGAATTGTCGACAACGGCGTCGTTGTCGTCTTTGCTGCTGGTAACTCTGGACAGGATGGCCCCTTCGACATGGCAAACGGTGCATCTGGCGAGCACGTCTTGACCGTGGCATCTTCTGACCCGGGAGTGTTCCCTGCCCAAGCCTTCTCCGCAAAGTTCAACTTGAAGGGCAACTCCAACAAGACCGAGATCGCCTACATACCCGGATCCGGCTTCTTCCCAGACACCATCGTCGACTGGCCCATCAAACCCATAAGTCTCAACTCTTCAATCACTAATGACGCATGCCTGCCTCTCCCAGCGAACACAACCTCACTCAACAATACTGTAGTTCTCGTCAGAACCGGCGGCTGCACCAACACCGTCAAGCACACTAACGTCGCCGCCTTCGGTGCTCGCTACGTTCTCTTCTACAATGACGCCGGCCCATACAAGAATGCCGTAAGCTCTAACCTTACAGGTCTCACCGGAGCCATCGAAGCAAACGCTGGTGAGGCCATCATTGCCGCTATCCTTGACGGCGGCAACGTGACCGCCTCCTTCGACATCTCCACTGCCCACTACGTTGGTCTCCGCAACGCAGGAGGCGGACGGCCATCCTTATTCTCCTCGTGGGGTAGCACCTACGACCTCGCCCTCAAGCCCGACGTCGCTGGCCCGGGCACAAAGATCCTCAGCACCTACCCTACGAACGAATACCGCGTGTTGAGCGGCACGAGCATGGCGACTCCCTATATCAGCGGTGTTGCCGCGTTGTGGGTGGGCAAGTTCGGCGGTCGGGCCGCACACAAGGATGATCCGGAATGGGCGCGCCGCCTTATCGCGCGCATTACGTCGACTGCGCACGCCGTACCGTGGGCTGACTGGGCGACTACCTCGACTGACTATGGTTTCTGGGCGCCAACGACACAAGTCGGTGGAGGATTTGTTGATGCGCAAAAGGTTCTTGGGTACACTACCGAGCTCAGCTTCGACGGCCGCAAGTTCGAGCTCAATGATACAGCCCACTTCAAGGGCACGCACACGGTGGAGATCACGAATCGTGGCACAGAGACTGTTACGTACAAGTTCTCGGTGCAGGATGCTGGTGGATACACGGCATACACCCCCTCTGTACCAGGGCAGACTCAGTTTGCGGTTCCTGGGATTCCTCTTTACGCGGACCTTGATCCTTTCAAGCTTACACCCGAGGTTTCTCTGCCCCAGGAGATTACTATCGCATCTGGAGAGACCAAGTCAACAGAGTATGATCTCATCCTCACAATATGCCACCATGAGACGACAGCTGACGAGGAATAATAGGTTCACATTTAGCGTCCCTGAGGGAGGAGATGCCAAGAAGTTGCCAGTGTACAGTGGCAAGATTCTTGTCAGCGGTAGTAACGAAGAGGAACTTGGTATTCCATACTTCGGTCAGTTTACTTCTCCACAGGTGCCTGATCTTCTTAAACTAATGAAACTGTAGGCGTTGCCTCCGACTTGAAGGAGACGATTGAAAACGTCTGGGACTACGGATGGAACAATCCTTATCTCACCTCTGGCGTGAATGCAATCAAGCTCGAACAAAAGTCAAAGTAAGTTGCCAAACAGCAACGGACGTCTACATCTGGTACGGGAGCTGACATACATCTGCTAGCTTCACCTTCAACCTCACCCGAGAAGCACAAGACTTCCCTAAATTATTCACTCAATTTGTTTGGGGAACCAAGGAGTTCCGCTGGGACGTAAGTCAAGATCATGTCCGGAGCTAGTATGGGAATGTTGAGCTAATGATTTGCACAGATTTTCTCAGGTAATTACAGCGAAGCCCAATGGTCATACCCTCCTGTTGTTGGTCAGAAGGGTTTCGTCGGCTCAGCAACCGCTTGGAACGGAACTGCCAACTCAGCTTGGTTTATTCCAGGTGAAGATAACGAGGACGACATTTTCTCCCTTCCTCTCTACTCGCAGCCTCGTGCAAGGGGAGGTATTTACTACTGGCTCGGGCGATTCGCCGACGGTTCACACATCCAGCCTGGATCATACAAGTAAGAGCCTATTCTGAGTCGATGGCATACCTATTCCTTTGTTATCACATAATCCTAATTCTTGTCACACAGGTTCCGTATTGCTGCCTTGAGGCCCTTTGGAGAGCCTGAGGTTGCAGAAGACTGGGACGTTTGGCAGACGCCCGCCATTACTGTGCTGCCTCTTTAGGCCCACATGTGCCTCTGCCGAACATTTGGAGCTTCACGCTCTAACAGTGATTGCGATTGTACGGGTTCTGGGAGCTTTAACATCAAAGAAATCAATTCTATAAACTTCAAACCTAATATCATCAAAAAGATTCCTTCGACTCTGCTACCGAGGAAGGATCTGCTTCCCCGACCATAAGCATCGATTACATTAATCTTGAGTCTCCATGCTGATTTTCCGCTTCTTTTAGACGTGACGTGCGATGATGAAGTTGTGCTTCAAAAGTCTTCAAGTTTGTGCACCTCATATGGCGGCACCTCGTATGGATGCGTTCTGCAGCCTTTGTCAGCATCCAGTGCGCCCTTGAATCGCCCGTGGCTGGGATCAAGTACCTTTTCAAGGCAGAAACTGCCTCTCTCGTAACATCGCGCCCGACGCACAGGATCTCGACCTTGTATTCGGGTACCTGCGCGAGTTGATCGATGTTACCGGTGTGAGGGGTAGCTCCCGCAGCAGAGACAGGTATGAACTGGCATGTGCCTGGGCTCTCGAAAGCGACATGAATGTATTTGCCGTTATCGTAGGTACCGCCACCAGCTTCAAAGATGGCTGCCTTAGTGGCATCTAAATGAGAACCTGAGCATGCGTGGCGATGTCAGCAAGAGCCATATTCTCGAAGTATTTTAGGCCTTAAGGCTCTACTCACGTGGCACGGAGTATGCAAGCTTGTAGCGATCCGACATTATTGAGAAATTTCGTATATCGGTATACTGGCGAGTGGAAAGCGTTGTAACTTCTCAAGCTGGAGATGGAATTGGAACGATGATGGAGCTGGGTATCAGGATGATATTCGTGACAACCCCTCCCTTTTCTGTTGAGAACTGACTAATCCTCGGTCGTAACCACCTTGTGTGAAATTTCCATTATCCGGGAGCCACCGGAACATCCTTATCTCAACAAATTTGTTGAAAATTCTGAAGCATGTCCCCGAACCCCTATGGGAAAGTGAAGCCATATTCTGACCCCTATGGGAAAGTTCAGGCGATGTAGTCGACGGATAGCGGGGCATAGCTGTGTGGGGTAGTTTTCAACCTGCGTGCTATGCCGAATTAGTTGACGACGCCCCAGTAAGAGGATGCTTGACTCGGCTGTGCCGACCTCGGCGGCGCTGAAGACTACTTAAAGCGCTCCTTTCATTGGATCAAATGCTGCTCTAAGTGGGACAATTGCCGGAAACACAGTTACCCTTATCTACTGGCTCCTTGCGAGTGGAAGCTGGGTGCTCGAGACAAGAACCTTCTGAGCGTGTACTTCTGAGCGTGTGGCGGGCTTATCTGTAGCGATGGGCCTCCATTCATTGGAAAATGCTACTGAAATGGCTCTGCACTCGCGGACCATCGAAGGTACTTTAGTACGAGGTAGTATGCTCACCTCAGTCTTGAAACGGATCTCGTAAATCACCTATAATTGATTTCCTCTCCTCGGCTCGTTTCTCTTATACGCAACACACACTCCTTGACAATAGATCATTAACTCTTGCTTCTAGTCTCTTGCCGCAACTCAGAAGAGAAGGCCATCAGGAGACAAAATAGCAAGAGGCAGAATGGAAACGTTGCCGCATAACCTCCCATGCCCGTCCGGCGCCTCAGTCAAGGTGTCCGTCCTCAACAACTGTTTCCTTCGTGGAGTGCCTACAGCGCCTTATGTTGAGCCTATCATACCTGGGCATGGAACATTCAACGACCTTCCATGTCTCGTCTTCCTGATCGAGAGTTCTACCGGCAGGAAAGTCCTCTTCGACCTCGGTCTACGAAAGGACTGGCACAAACTCAGCCCGGTTTCGCTATCAGAGATTCAGAACGACGAGATTGAAATCAAACTGAAAGAGGACATCGTTGATATTCTGAAACGCGAGAGAATCGCTCCAGGCGACATAGAGGCTGTGGTATTGAGGTGTGTATCCCTACTAAATTCCCATGTGCCTGATTCGGTACTTCTTTCTGTTCCCGCCAGGGACATCCTAATATGGGCTGAATATAGTCACCATCATTGGGATCATGTCGGAGATCTCAGTTTGTTTCCCGATACTACACGAGTTGTCGTTGGCCCGGGGTTCGTAGATGCTTTCCGTTTAGGTTATCCCGACGATGATCTGGCGCCACTGCTAGCCAGCGATCTGAGGTGAGTTGATGTATAACATGTCCAAAAGGTACTTAAAACGTATCGAGAGCTGAGAATGGTCAATATAGTGGGAAATCAGTGGACGAGGTCAACTTTGAAAAGGCCAGCTGTGTCCCTCTTGGTCCGTTCACAGCTTTCGATTACTTCGGTGACGGCTCGTTCTACATCGTTGATGCTCCTGGACACAGCATCGGCCATGTTGGAGCGCTAGCCCGGACAACAAGCAACCCGGACACATTCGTCTTCATGGGTGCCGACTCGTGCCATCACTGTGGAGAGTTCCGACCTTCTGCACGCCGCAAAACCCCGAGCGACTTTCGTCTTGGCTCACCGACTTCAGGACCATCTTCCCCTTGTCGTGAGCTGACGTCTGATGATCACAAAGGTCCTCAGGGCGGGCTTTGTGGAGCTCCATTCTATACAATTACGCGAGACCCTCGATATGCCGAGTACACTCATGATCACGGAGCTGCGGATGCAACGATTGCCAAGGTGCAAGAGATGGACGGGTACGACAATGTGTTTGTTACCATGGCACATGATGATTCTATTCCCGAGATAGTCGACATGTTTCCAAAGACCATCAACGAATGGAAGCCAAAGGGTTGGCATGAGAAGGGTCGATGGTCGTTCTTGAAGGACTTCAAAGGCTTGGCTGACGTGACGCGAGGAAGTTAAGCACAGATCTGCTGGGATTTCCCCAGGGGAAGAGCACAAGTCAACCTAAGCAGAGTTATATACATCGCTACCTTAGTCGGCGGGAACGGCTTGAGTATAATACAGAAATCACGTTCGAGGCGCAACGTAGTTGATGAAGTTGGCCAGATTACCATCCATTCTGGAATCATCCACTACAACTCTTTAATCCAATAACTGTGCCTCGCACATCTTGTGGTACATACCCTTAGCTTAGAATTTTTCCTAGTGTGTTCCCATCTCCTGAAAGGGGGCCCCTGTGCAATACGTATATCAAATCGGCGACCTTAGTAGTACCAAGACACTCTATATGGGCTCAGCCATAGCAATCGTGGTCCTGTCAATTCGCTTTGCAGCATCAGCCAGCGCAGCGTGAACCTCTCTGTATCAAGGGCACTAGTCGTCTCACCGAGGAGCAAGATCCTAGTGTCGCGGATCAGACCACGTGCAGTTGCAATTTATTGATGTTGGCCGCCAGAGAGAGCTGGGCACCTTGGTTCCATCCGGTGTGGCGAGCCCTGACCCATTAAGATTCATCAGTGTTGAGTCTATGATGAGTGGTTGGAAAGCTCGATCGATAGAGTGAGTTTACGCGCGGGAAAGTCGGCAATCAGTGGAGAGAAGTCATCTACACAAAGCGTGTTGATACGAAGACCTTCCCCTTCCCAACGGGATCTTCTTTGGCACCATCTTGTAAAACCTGAGCCAAGCCGACGCTGCCCTGGATGCGTTCTATGAGATCCAAACTGGAGCGCTGCTCGACGACCCACAGCTCATGGTCACCTGCATGGAGATGGTCATCCCCGCAATCAGCCTCACTACCATTGACCTCAACTCTTTCACTGGCAAGGTCAACTTCACAGGTTCTTATCCCACGGCACTTCAACCTCTGATTGATGTGGGCCCCATTGCAACACTCTTTTCTCGCAGCACTCTCACCGCCGAGGCATCCAAGGCCGTGACACCCGAGTTTTTGGCAGTTTATACCCAGCGGTTAGTAGTAGATCTAATCTCTTCATTAGAAAGATGCTTACGTGTACACTTTCTGCAGTATTGGTTGCGGCAATATCAACATGAAGGCGGACCAGGAGCTCTACAAGGAGGTCTCTGAACTGTTCTTCTCTTACTACGCATCTTCGACTCTTGCTGACCACACCATAGGCTTTTCTTGGCACCCCGTCACTCCTCACGCTGTACAAGAATCTGGCAGAAAGGGCGGCAACACAGGTGACTGGCAGGAGGTCAATCAGAACTGTTAGTGCAACCACACCTTTGAAGATGGCGGGCCTTGTCTATTACACAAATAGTGAACTAATCAACTATTCGCAGCGCTCAATCTGAGAACGAGCTGGGGTAACGCCGACGATGATGCGGCGGCCCTTCAGATGGACGCTGACTTCTTGGCCAAGGCCACAGAGCTGGCTCGGAAGCGCGATGCTCTAATGCCGAATCAGTGGATGAACAACGCTGTCGAGACCGCCGATGTCATCAGCAGTTACGGAGAGGAGAACGTCAAGAAGATGAAGGCTGTCTCACAGAAGTACGACAAGGAAGGAGCCTTTCAACGTCTTGTGCCTGGCGGTAACAAGCTAATCCTGCCCTATGGTCGATGTGTGACAGAAGAGTGCATTTAGTCTACATCGCGGATGAGAAGTCGCTAAGAGTGGAGCTGGTTCTTTGGCTTCATCAATAATCTAGCAGAGCTTGAACGACATTAGCTTCATATCTCATGTAAACAATTGATCAACGTTCTGGACTTATCGATCTATTTCGAATTATGAACAAAGAATATTTGACATGTCAGTCAAGCACTGAGAGTTCTCAACCACCTACAATACGCACAGACTCTGCAATGCACCATCGACGCAGCGAATCCACAAACATCTCCACTGAGCCTCACATCGTCACCAACCATAACAAAACTCACGATATCTTCACAAAAAGATCAAAGACATACAACACCAGGTATTCGCTGGTCGTCACCGACCCAACTACTAATCCGGCCCTCATTGGCTTATCTATGGGAGAGCGGACGGGATCCCGAGTTTTCCAATGGGTATGGTCGTATGTGGTGGTTCGGGGAGGAGAGACAACCTGAGACGCGAGTCTGAAGCGCGAACTTGGTCTAGGGTCCAATCCCGTTCACCTTTGGAGATCGGAACTAAGGATATCAATGGGTTAAGTCACCGGGCTAGGCGCGGTTCTCGCCTCTATATGGACTTTTTTGGAGGTCGAGGAATCTCAGAGAGCTGTCTTGACTTGGCTCAACATACCTAGCTCAATTTGACGTCTAGGGTGAGAATTCATCCGCTGAGCACCTTAGCATCTACCATACAACAGCGTATGCAACTGCTGTTACTGGGAGGCCATATCTCAGTGATGCCATCAGTCATCACCTCAGCTGGGGTGGACTGGCAATGTCGATCAATGCAGCTTTAAGTCTTCATTTTCAGCCATAAACACTGCCGTTTGAGCCATTTCAACCGTGGGATGTAGTCAGCGCTTAAAGCTTCTGGTCAAGGGTGACGTAATGTGCGACCCTGCCAGCATGCCCGCCACGGCCTATATCGAAGCTGTCACTCGCGCTGTCCTGGAGTTATAACATTTGAACCTTGCTACTTAGACTCCTGTAGTTGAAGATCTCGCCATGAAAGTACAATTGATCATTGTGATCATGTAGAAAAGAACCTATCTCTCGTTTGTTTAGGTTCTACTAGGGCCAACTCCGAGACGCTTCGGGTGTTTGGAAGGACAGGTTCCCACGGATTCTCATCAAACGGTGTATATCCAGCTCACGAAGACGCTAATGCAACAGCTGAAGCACCGCTTCCCGTTTGCAGAGCACGCAGTTCTTCGTCAGATCGGCGCGGTGCCGACTTGGGTGGCATGTCCACCCAAGCCTCCTCATACCCAGTCGACCGCGCATAAAGTGCACCAGGAGCCTCAAGGGCATCCACAACCATATGCTGAATCTTTCTCCACACATCGTCACCTTTCAGTTGGTTCCAGGCTTTGTCCTCGTAAGACTTGAGTAACTCGTGGCATAACGCTGTTGCCCTTGCCTGCTTGATACCATGCCCGTCATCACCAAAGTCTTGCAATCGGTTACCAATCGCTGGATATATGTCAGTGTTTAAGCCAGGCGACGAATTGGGAGCGCCATGGACTTGCCTCTGATTGAGGTTTCACCTGGAACCTTAGGTTCATAAGATGTGATGAGTCCCACATCTATCGGGGTTCGTCCTCGGGCCGTGTATTCAATCAGGTCCATGCGGATCTTCCACTCAAGAAGCCGCTTCTTGTCCTCACGTGAAAGCCATGATTGAGACAGCGTCGTCAGGTAAAACACAGCAGAATTTACATGGTGCCTAGCAAACGTCAGATCTTGTCGACTCACAGCCACTGTAGGAGAAACTTACATGAGGAAGAAGTCGTACTTGACGTGCTTAGTCGGGTGAACAGCCGCACTAGAAGCGACAAGAATGATTGCGTGGAACATCTCCGCCGTCCTTTCCTCTAGCTCGTCATCCAAGACATGCACTTTGCGCAATATCTCAAGCATTGGCTCTTTAGCTCTCTGCAGGATTCCATCCCTGATCTTGCTATCATCTTGGAATCGCGCAGCACCTTCTAAAGCAGACGATGTCCTCGCTTCCTTGAACAAATCAAGAATAGCTGGCATCCGCGTGTGTTGCGCGCTCTGCTCAATGGCGGCTTCGCTCGGCAGCAGAAGGTCGTCAAGCGAACTAGTCCCGTGAACCGCAGTCTGCGCAAGACCCTCTGCGACAATCGTAGGCTGCTTCCATTCAAGACCATGCATGAGCTGTATCAGAGAGTGTAGAACACCGCCGTGCAGGCGAAGAAGCATGTTGTTGGAGGCAGCGTCGCGCTTGAGCAGTGTTTCACGAACGACCTGTTCGTAACCGTCGGCTTCAATCTTACGCTGGAAGTATGCGAGGAAATCCGGGTAATATTCATCCTTCCCAAGATACTTGTGTGCGGAGCTCCAGTCAGTCAGGAGTTCGGAGACAACCTCATCATGGCGAGGCTCGACGGGGCGTTGAAGGTCGTGGCGCAGGTCGAATGCCTTCTGGATTTGAACCTCGTTGGCTCCGGTGCCGTAGAGCGCGAGAATATGGTGAAGCATCTGGTTGAGCTGTTAGAATCATCGCCTCCCTTCTTTCTGTCCGGGCCCGACTGACGTGGTCATGGAAACCGGATCGGTTGAGAAAAACATGATGAAGCTGGTGAAGATGAGTTAGCAGTTGATCGAACTCTTCTTTTGGGTCTGGATAGTTTCCCCTCTTACATTCAAGTCTTTCTCTAGCAGCTCGCTAGTTCGCTTTGCTGCCTCATCGCTCTGCCGGACTGCCCAAAGACCTGTGTTCTCGGGAGTTATGACGATGCGGGTAGAAGTTGGGCTGGTAGACATTGTCAAGTGATGTTATCGTAATACAATCAAGTTCGATGCAGGGTTAGGTTGAATCACGCGTGCGCTCTAAATAGAGTCTAGAGATGAGCGAGTTTAGCAATGAGTGACGACCTGACTGCTTACAAATGTATTCAAGACTGAGATCAGGGCATCTATCGGCACCCATTCGGTGAATGCAATGAGTCACAAGCGATCTCGAACGGGGTCTCGGAGGCTTAATTCAGTTTTCTAAATCGAATTATCTCGCATTTCCTGTCTCTCCGTTTGTTTGATCGATGATCTTCTCGAGCAGATTCAATTGAAGCCAAACAATATTGTAGTTTCCAACTCTCGCGCTTTGTTCGTCTCGCAAGATGCCCCGCCTTGATCCCCGGGTGTGGGACCCAATAAGCACGTTGATTATGTGATCAGTAATTCGAAACAGCCAACTGGTTCAGGCTACCTAAGTATTGACTCTGGGTTGGAAAGCTGTTCGCAACTCGCCGACGGCTTCAGTTGAGACCTTCGCCTATGCCCCGATCCTGTCGGCAACATACTGTCAACACAAGGATGGCACAGATATTACCCTTCACTGAGTTGATCTTTCGGTCGCTTGCCCCAAGCTCGACCCTCGGTCGTTGTCATCGGCCTCGGTGAGACCGCTCTCGTACTTGTACGTCCTCCTGTTAATGTGACTGCATATTATCAGGCAAAATCAGTAGTCGGCATTTATTTGAATGCAATAAGTGAATAGCCGATACGGCATTCAGTGATTTCTTAGTTAAGTAGATTTTTATACAGAAGACAAGAGCATGCCTGTCACCGGCCTAGGGTAGCTAGGAAAGTCTAGTTGTACACAGATGTGGTAGATGTCTCAATAATTTACACAAGGTAAGTCAGTATGTAAGACTGGGCCATTGAAATGGTTCCTAAGATCCCTAAGACTCAACCTTGGCACCTCCAGGCACCAGTTTTGTGAAGACAAGGTTCGGGTCATACTTCGCCATGATTTCCTTCATCTTCTGCCAGTTTCCCTCACCATAGCCAGGAAAGACATCATTGCTCTGGGTCTTCTGCGCGGCGCTGAGGAAAACAAAAGGAAGAAGATCGGAACCTGCAGCGCGAATATTCTTTTTGATGTCCTCGTTCGCTTTCTGGTGAGCATCGAAGACCGTCTTATCGTCCTCGGCGTCGGGCCATGAAGCGCTCTCGACCAACCACATCTGAGGCTGGTATTCCTGGCCTGGAGTCACGAGAGGGTTCCCGCCGTTGTCCTCACTCTTCTCTAGAAGACTCTTGGTGATGGGCATGATGGCCAGGGCTGTGAAAAAGCCCGGAATGTTGTCAAGCTCGGCGATACCGTTGAAGTACGAGTCGACGAAAATATAAAAGAGATCAGCATCTGCGGGTATAGAGACTGAGTGCCACAGCTGCCTCCTGCCGGCATCAGAGGCATAATCGACGGCGTTGGACCATGTTCCCATTGTCTGGCGGACTACTTCTCCTCCAGTGACCGGGAGAACTGGTGCCGTCAAATTCATCAGGCCGGGAGCAGTGAAGTTCTGAGGGCCGACTTGAAGGTCTTCTCCACTGTGGAAGATGAAGGCGTCAAAAGTCTTCTGCGGATTGGTCGAAGGGCTCCAGCGAATCTGGCCCTCCACGGCAGTCTTGGGGTCAAAGTCTGCGTAATGCGCAAAGTCCACCATACTTTTCAAGTACTCTGTCTGACTTTCTGTTCCATAGGAAACGGAGCCGATGTCAACAGCAGAAACATTGAGGGTACGGAGGTCGGCCCTTGTCGCGATGCAGAAGTTATTTCCACCACCGCGCAGCGCCCAGAAGAGATCCGAGTTCTCCGTGAGGCTGGCCTCGACAATATTTCCATTTGCAAGTACACACTTTGAGAAGTCAGGTTCTAGATTCTTATCAGATTTGAAGGCAGGAGTGATACCTGGAAAGCCTGAACCTCGGTAGACACAGAGCCATGCTCGTAAGAGAAGAATCCGATTCCGCCACCGAGTAGCAGGCCAACAACACCAACATTCCCAAGACGAATTCCGTCGACGGTCCGATTGAAGTTGTCGAGGTAAGCATAGAACTGTGGCCAGCGGATACCAGGTCCCACCGACACTAGGCTATGGTCATCATTGATATCTATTACAGTCATGTTCGTGCTGGATATCAGGATGCCTTCTGGACCAATGTTTGCCGCATTATCGACAGTCATGCCGCCACCGGCTCTGACTGCAAACGGTACGTTTGCTTGGGTGAACAGCTTTACCGCAATCGAGACGTCTTCCGCAGAGGACGAGGCAAATACGCAAGCGGGCCCAAGCCATGCGGTGGATGTCCACGAGTCTAGAGTCGAGTGTAAGCATAATACTACCAGCGTCTGAGTCGAAGTGGTTCCTACAGGTGTTTTCAAAGTCATATCGACTTGTGCCCGGAAGAATCGTGGAATCAGAGTACAGCTTGCTCAAAGTATTGCAGACATCTTGGGTCGACGCTGGTTGAGCATTTACTGTCCCGACATCTGCTAGAAACGGCAAAAAAAAAAAAGAAAGAAGCATCGTGTTATCAGGAGCGAGATTTTCTGTAGGGATTGAAAGTTTCAGTCGAGACTGTTATCCTTCCAAACCAACTTCTTGCATCGCGAGTTGCCTTCCATATTTATATAGTTCACAGGCCCTGGTGATGCCTATAGTGTGGTTACCATTTTGAAATTGACGAAAGTGTAATAAACATGCATGAACCAGCCTCAATATCCAAATGTCTTGGTATGTCTATCTCTGTAGTGGTTAGTATGAAGCTAGCGTTGTACTCTATAGTCATGTAGAAACGTTACGAACCCGATCGCTACCAGCGGTTCATCGGATTTGAGAGCGTGCGTTGAGATCCCGGATCTCAGCTCCACATATCTCCATTTCAACCATACAAAGCTGCGCCGATGTGCGCATATGAAGTGACTTGTTCTGGTGTAGTTCTCCCGCAAGGTCGCAATGTCGGTTGCGCATTCGCATTGCGGACTCCGTTGCGAACAACAAAGGCGAGATTCCGCGGACTTGGCATCGGGTTGAACCCGAGCAAGGTCTGCGGAGTTATACCTCGAGATTGTATTTGATTCCGAACCCGCTATTACTTCCGCTTCCCCATTAAGTCTTTATGACATATGCGCGGAGGTTCATTATCATGGCGCAGGTAATCGTGGACCTAGGATCTCCGGTTTTGACAGATATGGCCCCATGCGAACCACTCATACTTATCCAACAGCACGAACTATCGACTTATTCATCCAAGGGAAATGAGTTAATCATCCAAGTCACGGTTACATATTCTCCCTGCACTGCTAAGGAATAACCTATGTCAGGGAGGAAACTCCCCACTCAACGCCTTGATGCCTCCACCTCTTCCTCAGACATATCACAGAGCTCATAGTATTTGCTAACTAACTCGCTCAACTTTGGCTCCGAGGCTACGAATATCTTCACCTGCTTGCGCATGGCCATCGCCTCTTCTCCGACTTCAATTCCACTGGGAATACTGCCAGCCAAGAACCATGATTTCTCTTCGTTACCCTCAAAACAGATCTGTAGTGTGTAGTTGTTAGCCCAGTCGCTCATCCTCTACAATATGTCTGACCTGGCGGAGTTGTAAAGTATAGAGCAAATTCATTCAACATACTTTTGCCTCCCACATGATGTCGTTCGAGGCGCACCATACTTCATACGGCTTTCTCCCGTTCGTTTCAATGAGTCGTGCAATGCCAAAAACTTCACAGAGAGTATCTGCAGCTTTGGTCTTTTGATCCGGTAATTCCGTGGGCGCTGTGAGAAACTTGGCAAAGATACTCCGGATTCTATCTTCATCGGCAGTCTGCACAAGCTGTCTAAGGCAGCACTGCGTCTCTTCAATGGGTACCTGGCGCCACATGAAGTCGGTCATAGTATGGCGGTACCTCCACTCTAGGGCATCAGCATGCGAAGGGACTTTCGTTCGTAGTGCGGTCTACTTCGGTATTCTAGGTCAGCGCTGGGAAATAACTTTTCATTATTGTCGTATGATTAATGATTTGTGGAGAAATTTTCTGCAGTCGGCAACAAGCTCTTACGATGAATAAATTTTGGAGCTCCTCGAGATGTTCGCACTGTTGTTCGGTGATACTTCCGTTTGTTGACGACATGGCCAACCTTGGAGCTCCGATCGGGACTTCGGACTTGAAAACAAGCTAAATTATGGTGGTAGAGTGTGTGACAAGAATCTGGGGGTGTGGTGTGTGCCAAGTCAAGAATACATCAAGTATTCTATTTATGCACGCACATGATGATTAAGCCTCAGTAGTGGCTGCTGACACGACGAAGATGCACGATGTTGAGCTGACGACCTTAACTTCTTGTAAATAAACCCCGCAGATCCTTCGCTCTCGTTGGGTCTTGACACCACTTCATTGGCGGCAGTGATCAAAGAAAGGCAACTCAGCAAGGATGAAACCCACATGATTCGAAACACACAATCATGTGCCGTGCATAAGTTCTTTTGTCAATCTCTTACTTCCTGAGATGACGAGCCTCGTTCTCAAAACCTACAATATCCCATGAAAACTATTCTTTCAAGTAATCAAACATCTTCGCCGTGACTTAACCCAATGTAAACCAACATAAGTAAGACATGAACGTAGAATGCTCTTCGGTCAAAGAAAGTCTTCTCGAGTTTCATCTCGACTGCCCTTAGTTTGGACGCGACTTTCCAATAGCAACCTTTTCATGCGACAACAGGAACAGAATGAACCTATAAACAAGATGGGCCACTAGAGACGACTGGAAACACCTGAACGGCGCTTGGGAATAGGTGTATCCCGATAGGCTGGTGGCAGAATACCTGCGAGTTCAGCTTTGATCTGCAATGCCAAAGTCCGTGAATGCCATCGCTGAAGCCTCGTATCACCACCCATAACCCAGTAGTTGTCAAGCCGGGACTGCCGTTTCCACACTCCCCGAACCTCTCCTTCCGAATCGACACCCCAAGTTGCATCAAGTCGAGCGGCGATCTCTCGAGGTCCAAGGGTTCCGCTGTTTCCGTCTTGGTCTCCCCCTAACGGATTGTTAATGTCATTCGTTGTCGACGCCCCCAGTATGTTTGCCGCCGTCGTACGCGCGTCTCGGTCAGCAAATCCCGTACACCACACCACGGCATCCGCATCAAGTGTGCTACCGTCAGAGAATCTGAGTCCAGTGGTAGTGAAGGCAACGGGCTCGACATTGGCTTTGACACCTGCTTTACCCTCGGCTATCAGCGCCGTGCCGCCCACATCGAGGTAGTGTCCTCCAGCCTTTTCAAACAAATTGACCATCAAGCAGCATTCCGGTGAGCGGCTGTCTAAGACGGGGAATCCGGCTTTGGCAAGGGCGGCATAGCGATCCGGCTCTTGAGAGGCAAGGTGGGAGAAGTGTCCCCGCACGATGTGAGCGTCGATGTTAGTGGGCATCGCCATAGAATCCTTATCTGCTTCCACGCCAAGCTTCTCGTAATTTCCATGCGCTGCAGGATCGCACACGTACGCGACTGGGAAGATGTAAGTGGGGGAGCGAACAACCATTGTGGTCGCCAGACCGGCAGCGTAGCAATCCTCGAGAATGTCAAACGCGGTGTTTGCTGAGCCTATGACCAGAGCAGACTAGGTGTGAAAATACGGGTCAATCAAGTAATTTATCGCCGTCCGATTCGAAGCATTTGACTGACCTTGACACCAAGCATCTTCAAGTCTTTGGCGTTACGATAGGCAGTAGAGTGAACACTGACACCCCGATAAAGATCAGCATCAGCCATAGACGGCATATGAGGCTTCTGCGATCCAATCCCTGTTGCTTGAACTATGTGCCTGGCCACCGCAACACGCTGACCGGTGGGTGACAAAAATGTCACTGTGTAGAGTTTTGAAGCCCGGCTGTATGTTGTCGAAACAACCTTGGTCGAGTTGAGAATGTTCAGATTGAATATTTCCACGTATCGTTTCACCTGATTTGCAAGTTCCTCTCTGGTGAGGAAGTGTGGAAATTGCTGCTCTTCTGCGTATTCTGACCAAATTGCTTAACGTTAGTATGATTCGAATACTCCGCGGCTCAAACTCAACACTTACCCAGGTACGCCATGGTGCATATTGCTGTTGGAATATGGAACTTCATTGCGTGGTAGCGAAGAGCCCAGTTGTCTCCCGGGGTGGGGTTCCGATCGAGCATGACGCTCTCGACGCCCAAAGCCTTCAGCCGAGCAGCAACTGTCACTGCGCTACATCATTTCAAGTACACGTACTCGTTAGCTAATGTGGATTCGTTGAAGGTATCGATATTCCGTTCGAGCTTACCTGTTGCCGCCACCGATGATAACCACATCGGTTTCGAACTGTTCGAGAATGCCCAGCTGCTTTGCAGGACCCCGCAACAAACTCAAGTTTTCGGGATAGTGGACAAAGTCCTCAAGTCTGGTGCTCAATACCCAAATTTTCCAGCTCACTATCTTCTTATTCCCCGTTTGGCGCTTGTGGGGTAGAAGAATAATTTTGCCATGACAGTGGGCAGCTGGGGACGCTGTGCTGAATGTGAAATTACAGTCGATGAATTGCTTCGCATCATGGACCAGTCAGTCTGTTCCCCAACGAAATTGGCACGAATGAAGACTCACGAGGGTAGGAGTGATCGGCGCGAAACTCGCGACTCCATCAATTCCAATATCTGCTACTCCTCGGAGATTCTTTGTCTCCAAGAGGCTGCTTGCAATGACGCCGGCCCGTTGGAATGTTCGAAGGTGATACGTTAGTGCTAGCTGATCCTTCCAGTATGCCTGCTCCGCGAAGAAGCAGTCTTCCAGAGCAGTCGCATCATTGGCCTTCAGTGCTGATGTGAGTTTTTCGAAGAGATCGAGGGCGATGCTGGTAGTCGTGCTTCCGATCATGTTGGCAGGGTCTATCATCCCCTCGGGGATGATCGGAAGAGGTGTCTCGGCCATCATTGTACGTATATCCGCCTTGAGCGGGTATTCTTCATACACTTCAGCCATAATTTCCCTGCAGACTTTGTCAGCTTGACACAAACTTCACCTGGTCAAAAGAGAGGAGTGCTGAGACGCAAGATCTTGCCCCTAAGATTCTGTCCGGGTTGATGAAGCTTGGGACTGCCACTAGCGAGTAGATGACCGGGTGGCATGAATGAGGGGAAGTGTCTCATTCTTAGCTTCGTGACTACCATCTCAAAATGGGCAGAGATTCGTCCGATCCATTTTATTCCAACACGCCAACGGCCGTAGCCAATCGTGGCCGGTGAGCTTCCTGGCGGAATTGATGTCTCTCCGTGGCTGTCACACTAAGATATCACAGTGAGTAATAAAAAGAAGCAGCGACTGGAAGCGACCGGTGTTCGGTGTTCTTTGAAATCCTTCTTCTCCATGGCTTTCGGTGCTGTCTGTGCGGAGAAGAAGCCGCTCTTCGGCTAGACGTAGACTCCGAGACTTGTCCTTCCTCACCTTTCACAAGGCGTTGTGTACATACTCTTTTCATCCCTATTCTTGAATCAGACGCATCAGTCATCTGCAGCCGTTCACGCCTGAACTCTAGCTCCCCCGTAAACTCTCGTCTTCTGAACTGCGGAGGTAGTGTGTGGGGGTCTTGTGGTCACCGCGGTGTCCGTTCATCACGTTCATCATACCATGGACATCTTCTGGATCATAGGAATCGCGTATCTTTGTTTTCAACATGCTTTGACTAAGTCGCCCTGTCCTTAAAATGATCTACACACAATACTTTTGCAGTCTTCAATGAATGTCCTCAATCTTGACCGCACTCTATTTTATCATGACCAAGCCTAATTGTGGGGCTGACGCCTGACAAGTACACTCCGGCAGGTTCCTCTGTGAGAGTTTAGACTCGGCAAATACATTATCAACATGATTCGAGATTACTTGACCACAAACCTCCCTCGACCCCAGTTACAACGCGTCCAAAAATGACTCTCATTTACCTACACACTGTATAGACCTCGTGATTCCACGTCTTTGCCCTCGCTACGGTTCCAGCCCTGGGACAACAGGTCAGGATCGCGCCTTTCCTAGTTGAAAGACCATGAGTTCTCTCCTCGTACCCCCCAAGATGAACTTCCGTCAATACCGGTCTCTCCAGACTCTTGTCTTCTGAATTCCCGTATGAGGCTTGGTTCTCCTTGCAACGGAGGATATTGAAGCTCAAGAATCGTACCATCATGGTCCGATCTTGATATTTATTCAGAACTGGGAAGACTCCGCTTTGCAATACCTGACTTTGAACTTTGACTATCGCTCGTATTCCCGATAGCCTTCCGGAAAGGCGCGAACAAATGTTGAACAACTTGATCGGAGTAGATACCATAGCCTGCCAGGACTATCACTTCTTGACCTGCATAACTCGTGATCAATACGGCCGATGCGATCTCACATCCGCAAAAAAAAAAAAAAAAAAAAAAAAAAAAAAAATAAAAAGGAGTTAAAAGGCGCAATAAAAACACAACCCACCCAACAAACTCCAACAAACAATATCAAAACAGGCCAAGACAATAAAAAACCACAAAAAAAAAAAAAAAAAAAAAAAAAAAAAAAAAAAAAGAGTTTGACACGGCCAATCAAAAGTCATCACTACCCGCTGTAGTAATTGAACCATGCGCAGGGACGGAGTTCGGCTCCGAATGGCAAGATTCCCGAAAGTTATGAATACAGACGTGCCATTAGGTGTCATCGCTGTTGGTTCTGTCGTTCTTAGCATAGCCACCATGGCTTTTGCGGCGGCTGAAACCTTTGAAGAAGTGTTCCATATAGAACGAGAGTGTTATAATAAGCTCCGAGATGAATCATGAATTACGATGGGAACTAATGTGTAGAATGCGAGATAGTTGTATTTTTCAACACGTCGGGGTGAAACTCATGAAACTACAGGTCGATATCATGAGACACGCCCACGGATGTCGTAAAGCACAAGTGAGCTATCCCTCCCTATCTCGCTAATCTCCATCCTGCATCATCTTTTTATTCTACTAGCCTGCCGTCGTCTGCCGATGACTGAAGATAGAGTCTGACGATAAGAAGCCAACTCCCATCTCTCCATCGCTCAGGCATGTCTCTTTTCTCAGTTGCGCAGTTATGAGAGATATTCGGTAGCAATAAGCTCAAGGTCGGATGGCCTTACAGTGTGAGCAGACTCGAGGGCGCTTGAATGGGTGGCACAATCTCATATACAGGCGATTCTTCTTGAGAGTAAGCTCCATCACATAGCCACTGCGCTCAATCATCTTGCCGAAGAAGCGCACGCCTCTCTTCTGAAAAGGCAACCACAAGGTCTGAAGATCGTCGGCGTGTTCCTCCTCCCACTCAGCTAGTTCAGGAAAAGCGGCATGATTGATGCGTCTGAGGGCTTTCTTGTGACTTGGGTCAGGGGTGGTCTTCGTATGAATGTCATGCCACTGGCCAACCACAATGGCAAGTTCAGTGAGACTCGGAAGTGCTGCGAGGACAGTAAGGGCCGCACTGAATTCGTGGCGAAGGGGAAGATGAATCCGACGGATGCAGTCAATAAGCGGTGGTGCCTGGGGCGTAGGTAGATGAAGAGACTGTCGAAGCGAGAGTGCAGCCAGTTGCATGTTTTCCTCGTCCTTGTCTGCCACAAGCGGAATGAAGCGATCGATAGCAGGGAGAACCCAAGCGTCAATTGGGAGTCGTTCAGAAACGTAAGTACGATAGATCTTGCCCATCGGATGACGAAGGAATTCTCGATGGACCAGCGACCGACTCATGCGATTGATTTGTGAGGGAAGCTGAAGTCTGCGAAAGTGGCCTCTGAGGTTGACCTTCTCGCGTCCGTTCTCGACGAAATTCTCAAGGAAGACGACTTTTGAAGGTGTTTCGTGAACGTAGGCGAGCCACCAGACGATGCTTTTGTCGGCTTCTTTGGCATCGGCAATTAGGTGGTCGACGATGAGCAATATGATGTCCATAGACAGCACCACTGATCCCTCCTTTCCATCGCTGGTTGATTGATTCGCCATGATGCGGAAGTCCCGAATGTATGGTTACGAAATTTGCTGCCGAAGGTGTGTTCGTAGAGGTTCAATCGGTCAGGTTGCTGTCCAAGGTCGTCGTATGTGAGCAATTCAAGCGATTAAACGCTCATCGATTGATTTTCAACTGGAGATCTCAGAGTCAGTAAATCTCATGAGGTACAGGCGCAAAGAATGAGCGCACTTTGTTCCAGCCCTCCGGTGATAAGGACCGCGAACCTTCTGGCGAAGGATCGAAACAGCTGAGATTGGGTATGCTTGGAAGAGAGGAAGACGAGAGAGAACAGAGAACGTAGACAAGGAATGCAACTATTCTTTCTCGCTCTTTCCTCATTTCTCACTGGCTAGGTAGCTCTTACCTGAGAACACAGACTCTTTGAAACGGGAAGGCACAATTGCCGGAATACTGCTGCGTTTGCACAAGAGCGGTGATATCACGTCACATTATTGAGGTGGATAACAAAGAATCCAGCGGAATACCCAAGGACAGGAATGGTTTTCTGGGAACACCCACTCGTGTTCTTACCTTACTCAAGATAGGATATTTGTGCCTGTAGATACTCACCCTAAAGATACTAAGGTACCCTGTAGATACACGGATAGCTTTGACCAACACATCATACTTATTTTAAGATATAACTGGCCAGGAAAATAAGCGCCTACTGTTCGAACAATATTCTTCATACGTCTCCAGCAATGTTCAACGGACGTCCGGTGCCCAAGGTGATATTGATTAGCTAAAGAATCACACTGAGTTGAAATTAGAATCCTTGAACATTGGTCGCCTGGCGCTGATAATTTATCATAGGTGTAATATAGTCACAGTCTGTATCTGCAGCACATACCTAAGCTCAAGTGCTGTCCTGAAGACGATCAAGTTTTACCTCATCAATATGGCGAAGGCAGATTATCTCCGAATTTGGCCCAAATTTCCTCTACCACTCGTTTTTTTAACTTAGGGATGTAGTCGGAGTAAAGATGAGCTTAACCCCTGGTCATTTTGATCTTCAAGATTTGCTTCTGTCTTTACACTGTCGATGTCCCGTAGTTGATGGGATACCTGGCCATCCTCAAGATTCCAACAAAAACCCGGTTGACGTCAACCTGTCAAAAGGGGTAGGACCCCCAGTTCCACGCTAAAAAAAAAAAAAAAAATAGGACATTCGATTGATATAGAAAGAAGAAAAAATCTTGAAAGAACGGGATTTTAGTGATTGAGGAATACTATGAATTCAATACTGTCGGAAATCGACTAAGGCTAACCGGAGGTCATGAACGGAGCCCCGGGACTACCGAGGTTTGAGGAGTAGGAGCAGGAGAGATCATGGTTTCGGAGTTACAAATTGCGCATTCGGGTCCGAAGACAATAAACAATCCGCCGTCAACTAGACGGTATTTACTCCACATTGAGTGAGCATCTAGTTCTACAAGTCTCCGAAGATATTGTCCAGCCATCAAAGTGCATGTCACATTGTGAGCATACGGCAGTTAAAGTTATGGCAAGCGAATCGTGATGTGGGTACCAATTACACTCATTTAAGTGGGCGGCCAGACTTATCCCTGCCAACATTTACTTGCGCCGCCGTTGCATCAAGTCACTTGAAGCCCGTGCTGGGATAAGGTAGTCAAATGCTCTTCACAGGCAGATAGTCTTGGTATTTTCATGACGAGAGACTTGATCGTGCTGCATTTACCTTCACTCAGGTGCTCAGGCACCAGCTTAAGGTGAGATCTGTATTGAGAGATGTAGGCAACATCACGTTAGGCAGCAAGTGTAACATCGAGGCAGTGCTTATTTTTGAGTCGCCCTTGTAAGACAATAATTCTCACGCTAACACAACTTCGCCTAGGCACATCGACGTAATTGGCATTCTCAGCACGTTTCTCATTCGTTCAATGCTTCCAGGTAAGGTTAACGGCCGACGGCGCAGCTCCGGCTCTCACTCAGGTGTCTCAAAAACATGAGAATTTTCTCCAACCAGGCGGTCCAGCCCTGCGAGCCCTGCGAACTCTTGCGCCGACTGCGCCCGGAATCCTCCCGCTATCATGGGATAAATGCAGCGAGTCGCCGCGGTCCCTTCGCCGCGAAGCTACGGGAAAACCAGTCTATAAGCTGACTGCATCCAAGATAAATCGCCAGTTTTTTTCTGGTTCCTAATAACATCCGAATTCGATTTGCCTTGCCTCGTCAAATATCTGCGTACACCCAAAACAACAACTCACGTCTTTCCACCAAAGAAGATCACCCGTTCACCAAGATAAACTCCAATCTCCACAAAAATGCCTGCTGTCCAGCTCTCAGAAACAGCCAACAGCGCCATCCGCCATTTCCTTTCGGCGCGCGACTTCGACGACGACTACAACGACGCGCGGAACAAGGCCAGAGCAATCGGGGGTGGCGTAATCGCAGCCATTGTTGTCGTCATCGTCCTTACCATTGCCGGCGTTATTTTCGCCATTATCAAATGCAGCCGCAGCAGGAAGAGACGGGCGCAAAACGAGTTGGAGATGAAGAAGTACGTGGGCGGAGTTCCGGTCACCGATGCGGCAACGGCGGGCAACACGACCGTCCCGGCGCCCAGCGGGGGGGACATGAACGGATACGGGTTTAGCGGAGGATATGTTGCCAACGACGGAATTGCAGGCACCGGCAAGGATGCCCACAACGCGTCGGATGCGATGCCCCCGGCGTACACTGCAAACAACGGCCCGACGGCGAACTAAATCCTTAACGAACGACAACGAAGACAACAGATAACAATAAAGACTGGGATTGGAGATTACGACTACCTATTAGACATAGCGTTTCGGAACAGAGCGAACAATCGTTAGGGCATTTCTTTTGTGATTCGAGAGGAAAAATCGATCCCGGGTGTTCGATAGCATTAGCTCAAAGCGGGCTGGGAAGAAGTGGAGAGGGTAGTCGGAGGGGCGCATTTATCATGCTGGATCATGAATTTCAGAGGAAATATTCCATATCGCATCAGTCGTTTGTGCAAAGCCAAGATCAGAAGCATTGATTTTACTCATGATGAAAATACAGGTGTGAAGACAAATCTGGTAAATATGCACAAAGAAGTAGAAAGCCAAGTCGACGGATGCAAGCGTCTTCCTCATCCGCCAAGCTTGAACCTGGTGAGTGCTTCTCCAATGACCGTTGCATCGTCAAAGACTTAGTCGTAGTCTTAATGTCCAAGCTTGAAACCACCCCAGTTGAGCTTGCTGAACACCATGTTGGGGTCGTACTGAGCTCTGATATCCTTCATCTTCTGCAGGTTGCCCTGTCCGTAAGCAGGAAAAGGCTTCTGCCACTCGCCCGCGTCGCCCATGTAGACGAACTCGGTCGCCAGTCCCAACTCTTGGTTGATCTCGTGGTGGTGGGCGAGGAAGTTCTGGGACCAAGCGGTCATGCGGAGGTCGTCCTCGGGGCGGGCCCAAGAGGTAGTGATTTGCCACCCTGAGATTCTCAGTCAGTCACTGTCGGTGATGAATTAATGTGGACGTGGGTGAGAAAACTTACAGATATAGGACTGGTCAGCATCCAGACCGAACGTGTTACCGATGCCGTTGTTCTTTCCAACCGCTAAAGCAGTCCTCGGGACCGTGTTCAAGATGAACGTAGGACGAACGCCTTCGATGTCGGCAATGTCGGCGATAGCTTCAACCCAGGCCTGGTAGATCTCGTACAGGCGGTCGGCATCGGGAATGATCGTTTGGTGGCCGAACTGAATGCTAAACAGAAATCGTTAGCTTGTTTGCGATAGAGAAGGATTATGGTGAGGACCTTTCTTACCGGAACATCTGGTTGGGGGACAACATCTGGGAGTGCCAGTCAATGGGACGGGTAACATTGTGGCTGCGGGAAACGGCAGGAATAGCAGTGAAGTTGGCAAAGTGAGACGGCGGCGAGACAGTGGTCTCCTGCAGGCCAAAGACTTGCGGGACGACCTCCTTCGTCGTCACATTGTAGTTGATGTTGATGACGGCACCGGCACCCTCAGAGTTGTCGTCGCTGAGAGCGAAATCGGCAGCAGCCTTGATGAAGGCCTTTGTGGCAGACTCGTTAAAGATCTGGTAAGTGCTGGTCGCCAATGGTAGGTCCAAAGTCTTGAGAGAGAACTTGGTGACGATGCCGAAGTTGCTACCACCGCCCTTGAGAGCCCAGAAGAGGTCCGGGTTCGAAGTGTTGGTTGCGGAGACTTGGGTACCGTTGCCGAGGACGACGTCGTACTTGACCACGTTGTCCATGGAGAAGCCATATTTGTTGAGGAAGTAGCTTACACCGCCGATCAGGGTCAGGCCGGGGACGCCGATGGTCTTCAGACGGCCGCCGATAGCGTACTTGCCGTACGGCGCCAGGGCGGAGTAGACGTCGACCCATTTATTGCCGGGACCGACGTCGACGATGTTCTCGTCATTGTTGACTGTGACTGTATTCAGGCCGTTGAGGGCAAGCAGGACTCCATCGTCAATGGTGTTGGCTCCGGGGTACTGCAGGATATGTATAATTAGTGGGCTGCCTTATGGTGCAGGGGGCAAGAGGTTAGGGGGCTTGGGTGTAAGATTGTGCGTACGTTCATATGGCCACCACCCTTGACAGCGAACTGGGCCTTGCAGGTGGAGAGGATCTCCACGCCCTTAGCGACATCGTCGGCAGTTGAAGGGAGATAGATGCAGGCCGGATGAAGGTTGGCTCTCTTGTCCCAGACGTTGATGCGCTGGGTCTCGTACGCCGTCGAATTGGAGAAGAGCGTAGAGTTAGGAGAATGGCTGCTCAAACCAGTACAAGCGCACTTGACGTTGTCGGAGACCAGGAGGTCTCGGCGGCCGAAGACGGACTTGGTAGCCGAGGCAGAGTTAACCAGCAGAAGAGCTGGGAGAGCAAGAGAATACAACATGGCTGTGACTGACTGTCGATCGAAGTGCGGAAGGATAGGCTTGTTGGAGCGAGTGATTGGGAGTGAATGGTCAAGCATTTCGAGAACGACATGAGAAAGAATTCACCAAGTATTTATCTGTCTCGAGGGAGGTTCTCCTGGATAGCCTTGTCACTCTTGTTCCTCGGTGCAACCCCCTTTACAACAAAATGACACCCTCTCCGCTACTGTCTCTACGATCTTCCTCAGTGACTACAACATGGTGCTCCATCATGATGATCCGCTACGAAAGTCTCAATCGCAATCGGTCTCGCTCTGTGGCTTGCAGCTTTTGAAGATGCTCAGCCTTGTAGGTGGAATCCATCAAAAAGATCCATTGCGGATTTCGTCACTCAAAGTCCACTCAAGGCTTCGACCAAGATAGTCTGGTCGAGTTTACGCTACTTGTTAGTCGACGATACGTAACACGCCAGTCCGCCATAGCCGTCTTCGTCAGCGAACCACTAAGCCCTTGCCACTTACCTTAGCTACCTTGCCCTACTATCAGTTGAGCCGGCCCGAAGAGACACGGCATTGCGGTTCCACAGATGGGTTCGCCTGATGGACCCAGATGAGGCGTTTCCCGCGAGGCCATGCTGTATGCTCCAGCCCTAGTGTGCCATCTTAAGTTCCTACCCCGGATCACTAGTCCGAGGAGATTTGACAGTGCCACCTCATCATTCCGCCGTCAAAGCGATGGGACGAAAGTGTTTTTTCTCATTGACGGAAATAAAGTGTGGTACTTGCTTCTTTCCCACCTTACATAGTAAACAATGTGCTCTCTTTCCATGACGATTTACCTAACGGAGTAGAATGTGTTCCAGACCTTGACCTTGCCCTGAAAACCACCCCTGACGTTTCCAGCCACACCTGCGTCAGAGCGTGGTGTTCCGCTCGCTCTCGCTTTCGGCGATGGGGCCCCCTTCGAACGCTTGCGCATGAAGACGAGCGGAGATCTGTGCGAGTGTTTTGGAGTTGGGTGGAATTGGTGTAGATCTGCTTCCGCATACCCACTCTTTTGTTCTACGTGTATTCCTTTACGTGGATCCGTATCCAAGTTTCCCACGTGAAGAGAGTACGTGTATCCGTATTTGTTATTTCAATCATTCCATTGTGGCTTACCGAAATACCCACCTAAAGCAAACGCATCGTGAACTGCGGATTCTACGATTGCAACTTGAGTACATTATCCCAGGTTCTCCCCTCACGTTACTGTTCGGCACGTCTGTCTCTGCCAACTTCAGCCCGAGAATCTCGGCAAATCAAAGTCTTGCCGAGTGAGGCAATGGCTACCTTGGCTCGTATGCGCGAACAGCGTATCAAACATTTCCTTCGATTGTGTTCGTGCTTGGTCAAGTACGGTCCATGACTGGAGACATTTCTTCAAGCGTTGACCGTTCTTTAGAACACCTGTCTCTAAGATAAATCATTTCAGACGAAAGGGACTACGCGAAATCCTACTAGGTGACATTGAAGTTCTATGGCACCGTTTCATCGGTTTAAAGTTTGCTCCTACAGCAGTCAAACGCATCGACACATCGTACCGCGCGATATGGGTGCTGTGGCTTGACGTTCGGACATTTTTTAGACTTTCCAGACCCCGGTGATTCCGCAATAACTGTAAATTAACCACAACCACCTATGTGATGCAGGAGACCTCACCTCCTTCAACCTGTCCCGGATTTACTCGAGATCTTATCCCGAGTCCTTCTTTCCATTGACGGCAGCTATGAACGCCACTGTCAACCAAACTTGGACTGAGGCAATGTCTGAGCTAAGACTACGGCCCACAGTCACACCGAGCAGCACTCTTCTACCTCACTCACTGACCGCGAAAGGGTGGTTAGCATGTCTTGTTTTGTCGCTTATGGACGGGCTTCTCGACAGGGTTCTTCGATATCAGCAAAAGGATCCTGCGCGTCGGGCGCGGAATGAGAGGCGAAGACGACGGCTGGGAGTCTGGGAGGAGAGGCATCACAGCGGGCTTGAAAAGCTTCACGAAACGCTGTGTGATCTGGATATCCCGGAGGTAGACCTCAATACGGTCGACATGCATGAATGGTTGGATTACGCATTTCAAAAATCATCGTGAGACTCAGCGTTCTCATCTGATACATATTGATCCCGAACCGAGGCGAAAGGTCCTTCTTCGAGCCCGGAAAAACTACCTTCCAAGTATGTAACCTAGGGAAGAGTAACCGACTGCAAAGCTCCTTTGGATTATTTCGCTGCGAATGAGAGTCTCTCTGACTGAGAGCACGTTTGCGAGCTTGAAGACTACAAGGTAGCTATGGTACCTCATGTTCCATGCCCACGAGTTTCCTACCGCCTGCTAATCATTGAGATGTCATTACGATCAGGGGTCGATGCGGAACACATCAATTTGTTGCTCGCCGGGGAAACAGTGAGATAATTCAGTGTCCGCCCGCTGAGCATTCACCAAAGAATCTCGGCGATCTCAAAGAATAGCGTCTGGTATCGGCGCGAGATTCAGGCTAGCAGGAACGGAGAAGTAAGGAGACTATTCAGGATCGCTTGACAGCATGTCTGATCACTATCAATAGGCACTCACTACCCTACGCGTTGATTGTGAGAGAAATGAAACGTTAATAGAACTACGGCATCATCTTCGGGATTCTGTTTATATACAGAAGGAGGCGCTCCGATATTGTCCGGCGTGGCGTATAATATCAAGATGGAACAAAGAAGAACGAGATCCAATTTACCTCTAGAAACTGAGATACTTGGCACAGAAGATGGCCTGTTGAGAGCTCAGGTCCCGTTCGTTGATATTTACTCGCTCATTCTTCATCTCCTCGAATCTTCAACGTGGTCTAGGGATATTTCAGGCTGACGCTTGAAATCTCCCGCATCTTGCTCTAGCTAATCCAGCTCCGGACCTTTCTTTCCTGGACTGATAATCTCGTCTCCGGACTTAGCAGCCACCTCCTTAAGTGATAAGAAGCGAGTCTCGGGCAGGAAAAAGAAGTAGATGGTCCCCGCAAAAGCGTTGCAGGCGACAAAGACGAAGTAAAACTTCCACTCGATGGCATCGAACGCGGCTGATACCGCGTAAGATAACCAAATTGCCGTAACAGCTTGTGTAAAGACTGAGAAGCCAACACCGACGCCACGGAGGTCGAGTGGAAAGATCTCTGCTACCAAGACCCAATTGACACTGTTGACGAAGAAGGAGTACGCAACCGCGAACAAGAAGATGAACGCAACACTGGCACGGGATCCAGCTGGATTCGAGTCATCTTGGAAAAGTTTCGATAAGGCCGTCAAAACTGCGAGGAGGACAGCGAGCGTGAAACTCCCGGAAATGACAGTGGTGTGCCGCCTCCAGTGGTCGGCGACAACGAAGATGTCGTTCACAATGGCGTACCTGTAGAGCAGTCTGAAGTTCTCTTTTCCAAAGCAAGCTCTCAGAGTAGAGTTAAAATAACAGAAAGAACTTGACAAAACATCTGTTTACAGACAGACGCAGACGCGGTTTCAGCTGGGGTGACAAAAAAGACTGCAAGTCGATGACTATACTACTAGGTAGGTAGTTCAGGCATTTATAAGACCTTGCCAAAACAATAAAGTCCTTCTAACATCTGGCATATTCGTGCAGTTCTACTGTTAGCGAGAGGAGTAAGATGTTGAGTCTCCCCGCATATCCGCTTCCCCACGATGGAGCTGTAGGATCTGTTCTTCCCCCGCAATCATACACGATGTCTTGCCCATCTCAGCTTGTTAGCACAACTCGGACTGTCATCAAATTCTCCGAAGTCCCGGTCGAGGCAGGGGATCCAGAAATTCCGGAGACCATACCATTTGGTTTAGACCATCCGCGGATGAGGCGGGGACCTCCTCTGGTGTCAGCTGACTTTCGTGCGAGATCAGTCAAATCTGAGAGATGAGCAACAAGTGACCCCTCGACATGTAGGGACAGTTCGTTCGAGGATCAAGAGCTCTTATCTTTCTAAGGCAATAGATGATGAAAAGTGTTAACTGAGCTTTGACATTTCCTTCCATTAGTCCCACTTCACGTCCTGTGCTTTTCTGTAAACTTGACCTTAACTTCAAACCACCGTACAGCACGCTGTAGGCTCATGTATATTTCAATATGCTTACCAAGGACCGATTTTGCTCCCGAGGACTTCTCATCCTACTTACCTTAATAAGAGGCGTTTCACTATAAAAGACTCGAAGACGCCCCTTGCAAGTTGCGTATTTACAATTTTCGCAGGGAGGTAAGTTCCAAAAGAATGAGCACTGAAGTTGTGTCATCATTTATTGTATCAGAGGCTTTTGGATTCCTAGGTCTAATCAAGAAGGTGCATGCAGTCAAGAAGTAGTAATGAATCTACCATTTTGGAACGTTTGGAGAAAATTCAGGGTGGAACTTTCTCATATACGTTGTGTCATCGCGTTTTCGCAGCCCACAATCCAGGTAGAGTTGATGAAGATGCGCCAACTTCTTCCTGTCTAGCTCAACTCCCAAGCCAGGCGCGGTCGGAACGTTCAAACCACCATCAGACCACTTGAGTACTCCATCAACGACGACATCCTCATCCCGTGGTTTCCATGGCCAATGAGTATCGCAAGCATAGTCCAGATTTGGGGTAGCCGACGCAAGATGAGTCATGGCCGCAAGTGATATGCCCAGATGGCTATTCGAGTGCATCGAAAGACGCATTCCCCAAGTCGCGCAGATGGCGGCCAGAGTCTGAGACTTGCGCAGGCCACCCCAGAAGTGATGATCAGAGAGCACCACTTGGACTGCGTTCTGCAGAATTGATGTGGGCAAGTGAGAAAATGCGACTACGGCCATGTTTGTCGCCAACGGCATCGAGGCTGCTTTCGCAACAGCAGCCATGCCTTCGATTTCTGGAGCCGGGTCTTCCAGGTATTCGACGATCCCTTCGAGTTCCTTCGCAACCCATTTTGAGGTCTCGACAGTCCAGGCGGCATTGGGGTCGAGTCTAAGAGGCACACCCGGAAAAGCCGCATGCAATGCTTTGATTGCTTCCACCTCTTGTGCCGGGGGGTAGACGCCGCCTTTCAACTTGATCGCTTTGAAACCGTACTCGTCAATAATCCTTTTCGCCTGCTTTACTACACCAGCAGGGTCAAGAGCCGCGCCGTATTCGTCGTCTGGCTGTCCAGGGTGCCCCGCCCACTTGTAAAAGAGGTATGCCGAATACTGGACGTTGTCTCTAACGCGGCCGCCGAGAAGGTCGCTCACAGGTACTCCTGCAAGCTTTCCCTGGATGTCGAGACACGCAACTTCAAATGGGGAGAAAACCTTGTCCGCAACGGAGGCAGTAGTCACCATGCCTGCCATTCCGTCGCCGCCTGTGCTGGTGTCGCCTGTCAAGGACTCGACGCATAGCTGGTATATGGAGTTTGTTTCGTACACAGTGAGGCCCTTAATTTTGTCGGCCGCAAGTTGGAGACGGCCCAGGTGTGTTGAGTCTCCGTACGATTCCCCCAATCCGTAACCGTCATCTGTGATAACTTCGATGATGCTGCGTAGTGCAAATGGCTCATGTACACCAACGCTATTTAGCAGTGGCATGTCATGAAATGCCACTGGTGTAATGACGATATCCCGAATAGTCCCACGTCGAGACATGATGGCTGCATGTGGTTTTAGGTTCACCTTCCTTTGTCTGTTTTTGGCTGCTTCGTTGCTGTAATTGAACGCAAATCGTGAGATTAGGGATGTTTTTAACGTCACCAACTGAATCGAACTGTAGCGCTTGAAGATTCGGCCATCTAATAGGTGACTACGCGGGGTACGATTTGTAGGATAAGTGTGCCATTCGAAGGACAATAATCCGTATGCGGGGTGGAACGCCGCCTTTTCCGCGGATGTTGGAGTACGACTAGGATCGGCAGACGTCCGACATCCGAGGGAGCGGGCATCCTTGGGCCCAAAGACGGAAAAGTGCATCCGATTTGAATCATCGATCACAACTATTCAGGGTTTGACAAGAGTGATTCCGAACCTCTTGTGTATCTAGTCTATCCGAGGAAGCAATAGATGAATCGCCGGTCGCATCATTGTCCCGGACTCGACTGGCAACCGATGCCGCAGAATCGAACAGGCCGCAAAAAGGGTCCGAGGACATCCTGCGCATCCATGAGTAAACAGAGCCTGCGATAAGTGCAAATCGCTAGTCTACAACGGAATGGTGTGTCGAGTCTTGTTGTACAATGGCTAACGTCTAATATGCTGGCTTCAGTCGCAAGACACGATGCTCTGGGACATGGCGGTGCGTCTTTTGCGCAGAGTTCAATCTATTCAGCTTTGCGTGGACGCCGCCACAGAGATCACGAAGCACGTCAACTACATCAACGATGCCGGCGAGCTCTACAGTACGTTGTTTGTAAGTTGCTGTTTTCTGTTTGGGAATCAAACTCAGTACTTCACACGCTCACACACATGAGCTCGTCCCGTATTACGGATTCAGTGCAGTGGTTATACTCTACGTTTTCGCAATCCAGCGACGTACCGAGACACCAGAGACCTGCCTGGATTGCTTCAGTCTTGCTTCTCAATGCCATGCTCAGATTGAAAGTATTGCAACCAATGGATCACTTATGTAGCGCTACGGTGTTGTCCTCCGAGATTTGCGCCTCGAGGTCCTGCGGAACAATACGTATCTCGCGCCTGTCTCAAATCCCCGCGCTGGAAATTGTTTGACATCAAATGAGAACAACGAGATCCTTCCTGTGCCATACCGGAGGTCTCAATTACGCCCCGAGGGTGGTACCAGCGGGTCGAAACTTGCTGTTGAACAAGCTGCCGAGGGCGCGCCTTTCTGCCGATCCTTTCCGTGCTTTTCACGTCGGACTCTTCAATATGATAAACTGGGCACAATTCGATTCACTGGTAAGTAACATTTCCAACATAATACTGCTAGACTAAGCACGCCTGACATGATGCTTTCCTACCCCATAGGTCACAGGTGGGACTGGAAATTTTGATGCGTTGGTTCACGACGACTCCGCCGATCTTTGGGGCCACGGCAGCGACGTAAGGCTCAATCCCTGAATCGTATACTCGTCCCCAAGCCGCCAGGTTTTCGAGAGATTCCTTACTCAACTTCGGAGGCAGTATCAATCGAGAAAACGGTGGTGTCCGGGAAAGGGAGGTACCTGGTGCTTGGTGGCGGGAATACCGTGCTCAGATCATCTGTGTTGAGGGAAAGCGTCGCAAAAGTCGTGTCGACATGAGGCCACCGTCAAGCCCCGTTGACTAGAGTGTAAGAGGCCCGCATTCTCCGCTTTTTGGCTAACTGAGGCCGGGTGCCTGGCATCTGTTCATGCGGGGTGATGGTCCCACGGAGACCGGCCGGAGTCGATTGTCACGGGTAAAGACTTCCTAGGAATGCCTTTTTGTATCTACACCTTTTCGTCAAGTCGCAATTGAACAGGAACATGCTTGCCATGTTCAGAGAACGACAAAGCACATTACTTCGGGCCCCGGCTTTCCCGAATGCAAGAACATCTACCTCCAATATGTGCCAAGAGGGCTACTGGAGGCAGATAGGTAGTTCGACGCGCTAAGAATCCTTCCAACTCATCACGTCTGAACAGGGGAATATGAAGTCCAAGACCCCCACAAGTTGAAGTTGGCAAGCTCATCATTCTCAAGTCGGAAGTGACTACTTTCATATACTAACCTACAAAAGTAAGTACGTACCGTAGGTACTAAGTCGGTGCGAGGAATCAAGGTTTTGAGTCCTGGCTTACATCTACTCGCGATTCGTCACGCTGTTCGAGCCTTTTCCGCCTTAGCCAATTATTTGAGCACTGATCGAATATGCATTATATATGTTGCAAGTGCTGCACGGCAGCTTTTGACTGATCTCAAAATTTGAACGTATAAGTGATACCCAGCATTCATGGTGTTCACAGCTGCCTGGACCAGTTCATTGACCGGCGCCGTGTTCTGTGGAACCCCGAATTTCGCTTCTCAGGAGGAGAAGGTTTTCCACATGGCCTCGAGTCGCATACCTCAACTATGCATGCCTGCACCCGGTGTGGATACGCCTCATCGACACTATGACCTTGCTCCCATGTTGGATCTGACTCTCCCAGCTGGATGGCTCGCCATAGCGCGACGGACAGTTTCGTCCCAATGAACTGGGTCACCGCTCATAAGAGCCATCAGACAGTCAACGGGATTTTTTAAGTCACTCGCAGGGGTTGTTACGCGGCGTGCCAAGGTACGCCATGCCGCTATCGACCAGCTTCATCGTTCAGTTGTTCAAGAAGCCGGGGCACTCGGAGCCGATTAGCCAGCCACCCCCGTACTGTGTACTGGATCGCCAGGCGGGAGCTAAACGGCTTTCGCCATGCCTGCCATACCCCCTCCAATCATGAAGCGCCTCGGGAATCCGGTTTAATTTCCTAGCGAGAACGCTACCCCTAAACTGCCGGACTGAACCCGGATTTCGCAGCGGACCGGCGCCTCTCATGTGATCGACCTGGGGAATCGCGCGGTCTGGGGTAAGCCAACTTCGGGGAAGAAAGGAAATGCGGGGATAGCTCAGGTGTTCTTCCGTGCTAAAGTGAACCCACGAATGTGGATACGCGACGGGCGTGATGCCAGAGTCAGTCTAACAGGCCACTTGCGCCGGCTTGGCTGCTGCGCTGCTGGTCTTGGGTGACGGAGTGGTTTGGTTGCAGCCGAGGAATTGAGAAGTTTGGAACCGAACCATTGAGCTGCGCAAACATAGACGTATATAAGCGCGATATCGCGTCTGCATCGATCGCGGGGAAGTGACTGGATTCCCCATGTCCCCCAGACTCCAGAGATCTAATATTCGAATCGGACTGGCCCTCAAGTACCCAGACACCGAGATCCGTGCCGAAAATTGACTGCCAGAATGGCTGAGCCAACGAAACGGACCTATTCCGGCGACGACGAGAAGCGGGACCTCGCCAGCAGCGATGTCATGGAAGACGCGCCTCCCACTGTAGTGGCAGCCGTTGCTGCACACGAGATCGCGCACGAGGTGGAAGATGGCAAATACTCCCCGTGGACGAAATCCATGTTCAACCTCTATGGGGTGCTGTTTGTGGCGTATTGCTGCGGTGCCCTCAACGGATATGTAAGCTTGCCTTGACTTTGCGGAATAATATCGACCTGCATCATTGACAGAATGCAACAGGATGGATCACTCATGGGATCGCTCAACGGAATGACATCCTACCAACGAACTTTTGATATGTGAGTACTCCGTAGTAGCAACGCTTGGTGGAGAGAAGTAGGCTGATACAGGAGCAGGAAGACCTCGGGCTCTTCGACCGGCATCGTGTTCATGATGTACAATGTCGGATCGGTCTGTGCCATCCTCTTCACGGGACCCGTCAATGACCTTCTTGGCCGACGCTGGGGCATGTTTACCGGCGCTTTGCTCATCATTGTAAGTCAATGAGATATGGGCATCCCCACCCTTTACCTAAGGCGGACTTTGCTGACAGGTATCCTAGATCGGCACTTGCATCCAGTAAGGCGAACCAACTATTCGAGCTTTGAATTGGAGCACTGAATTTCTATCTAGGGCTACTGCAAACCACATCCCTCAGTTCTTAGGTGGACGTTTCGTTTTGGGCTTTGGCGTGTCATTTTGTTGTGTCTCTGCTCCAACCTACGTGAGCGAGCTTGCTCACCCTAAGGTAAGTCGAATATTGAGAATTGCCGATGAAGTTACACTGACGATTTGTGAAACAGTGGAGAGGTACCCTGACTGGATTGTATAACTGCATGTGGTGAGAATCCTTGAAGACTTTAGTGAATCAACATCTTCCATTGAGCTAACAACATGATAGGCCTGTGGGAGCTTTCATTGCAGGCTGGGTAAGCAATTACAATGTCGGAAGAGCTTGATTCCTTTCGACAGTATACTGATTTCGGTCAAACAGGTTGCCTATGGCGCTTCTTTCATCCCCGGAGACGGCGGCTGGCGTCTTCCCGTCTGGTGTCAACTGGTCACATCCGGAATCGTTGTCGCTTTTGTGTTCTTCTTGCCAGAAAGTGTAAGTAGCCAACTTCATCTCAAGGTCAACGCTTCAACTAACCTTAAACTCAATAGCCCAGATGGCTTGTAGCCAACGACCGACATGAAGAGGCAGCAAAGATCCTGACTCAGCTCCACGGTGAAAAAGATCCCAACCATCCGATTGTGCAATTGCAGATGAAGGAAATGATGGCCCAAATCTCGAACGAGGCTAGTGATAAGAAGTGGTGGGATTACCACGAGTTGTGGAACACCCACTCCGCTCGGAGAAGACTGATTTGCGTCTTGGGTATGGCCATCATGGGACAGGTAAGACCTTCTAAGCCGCTGTAACACCGACATTACGATTGGATCTGATGTTTATCTTCACCAGGCTTCCGGAAATTCTCTGTCCAGCTACTATCTCGTGACAATGATGAACACAGCCGGAATCACCGACGAAAAGAAGGTCCTAGCCCTCAACGCAGTTAACAGCATTCTCGGCCTTCTTGGTAGTGTTATCGGCGCCCGCCTAACCGACCGCGTAGGCCGACGACCTTTGCTCATCTACAGCATTCTTTTCTGCTCCGTCACTTTCGCCGTTATCACCGGTACATCCAAGATGGCCGTCGATGACCCGAGCAACACCAACGCTGCCAATACCACCATCGCCTTCGTCTTCCTGTTTGGTGTCGTATTTTCTCTGGGCTGGACAGCTCAGCAGAGCATGTACATTGCCGAGACTCTCAGCACCTCCACTCGTGCCAAAGGAACTGCGGTCGGCAATTTCGCCTCCTCGGCTATCTCGCTGGTGCTTGCTTACAGTTCTGGCCCTGCATTTGAGAAGATTGGCTACTACTTTTACCTTGTCTTCGTCTTTTGGTGCGTTACTCATCAGTCAAAGACATTAGAGTTCCATTTGTCAATTCTAACCTTTATTTTAGGGATATCTTAGAGGCAATCTTCATCTACTTCTTCTTCCCGGAGACTAACCACAGAACGCTGGAAGAGCTTGAGGAGGTGTTTTCCGCGCCTAACCCCGTCAAGAAGAGTTTGGAGCCTCGTTCCGCATCAACCGTGTTGGAGACTATGAAGGTTCCTAATGAGAAGTTTGTAGAGGCCTAAATTAACGAATGTCTGATGACGAAACTGGTGGTTCCTCGGGAGCTCAGAGGCAAAAAGAAGTGTAGTTCGAGTCCCAATACAGCTCTTGCAGTAAATTTATGAGTTCTTGACTTGAACAACTCTCTTCTACGCATAATTAAATAGTTATCCCAAGTATCCTTGCTCAAAAAGAGGCAGATTGGTTTTTAATAAGTTACCCTCGGTGTTTGTCACTGGGCGTCGGTTTGGGATGTGGGTTGGCGGATATGCATCGGCTTTCTCACCGATATCGTCATCCTGCTGGGAATAACGTGCGGGGGTTAACATCGCACCGGAATACTTCTGTTTATCTGAATACTTCATGCTGTTAATCCGCATGAGCACATAATGGGCGCTTGTAAATTACCAGTCATCAATGACTATCTCGGAGCTTCTCTCATCGATATAGGTCGGCATTTTAAAACTTTGGTCTCACTAAGGATTCATCACCAACCAATGATTATTTCGGCAAACAACGTCCAGAGATATCTCTTCCACGGCTGTTCACAGATTTTGAATTCCCAGGAGCATCCTCAGACAATGGCTGAAAATAGGCCCATCGTCCTCCGCCTTGGCGAGGATGTCAAATACAACCACGATTACTACCAGAATGTATTCACAGACCGATTCACCGTTGTCCCCAACGAGGAACCGGACCGAGCATCTTTCATCAAAGCTCTCAAAGAGAAGAAATTTGGCGACTTTTCCGCAATATTCCGCCCTCATTTCCAGACCGGCGGCGAGATGGGCCAGTGGGATGACGAACTCATCGACCTCCTACCCTCATCAGTCCGCATCTTTGCCTCCGCGGGAGCAGGTTTTAACTGGGCTGATGTTGATGCCCTCGGTCGACGCAAGATCTGGTACGCTAACGGCGCAGGTGCCAGCGACGAAGCCGTCTCGGACACGGGACTTTTCATGATCCTTTCAGTGTTTCGCAACTTTTGGAGGGCACAGAGGGCGGCAAGAACGTGCGATCCTGAGCAATTTCTTGCCATGCATCGTCTAGTGGGAGGTATATCGTGGAGCCCACGCGATCATGTACTTGGGATCGTGGGACTTGGGAACATCAGCAAAAAACTCGCAAACAAAGCCAGGACTGCGCTGGGTATGAAGATCCACTACTACGATGTGGTGCGATCACCCTTGGAGGTCGAGGAAGAGTTGCAAGCGACCTTCCACCCGACTCTACACGAACTCCTGGCTGTGTCAGACTGCGTGACGCTTCATACTCCGCTCAATGCTCATACGCATGACTTGATCAATAAGGCAGCTTTCACAGCCATGAAGGATGGAGCTCGACTCATCAACACGGCACGAGGCGAAGTGGTCAATGAAGAAGCCTTGATTGAGGCTTTACAAAGCGGGAAGTTATCAGCTGCTGGCTTGGATGTGCACTATCACGAACCACAAGTTTCAAGGACACTCGCGGATATGGAGAACGTAACTCTGACGTGTCATAACGGCGGAGCGGCTATCACCACACGAGTCAACTTTGAGCTGAATGCGATGAAAAACATCGTTGAAGTGGTCGGGAGTGATGGCACTACAGTTGGCAAGCCGTTGACGCCGGTAAATCAGAAGGCGTTCGAGTCATCTCCGTAGATCACGATTATCTCTTGAGCTCTTCCCGAAGATATTTCTCCTCACCTATCTTTTCCAATCTTGTCCAATGTTTGCATTCAAATCGACTCTAGCTGGTGTTGCCATGATCGCCGATCAGTATTCCATCCAAGCAAACCACTCCTCCGGCATTCTTCCCGATGTTCGGAAAAGTCGGGGCAGACGTCGCATCCCGGTGTTGAAAGACAACCCTGGAGCTATCCGTCCCCTCCCCCGCAAGCCAAGAATCCGGGGCCCCAGATCAGAGGCAGCGTCACAGGGGCATCGCGCCGGCTTTCTCCCCGGAGCTTCAATCCCTACAACGTTCCCAGCTTTCGGTTTGTTTAAATAGTACGGCTGAATACTTTGAGCATAACGTTGTCACTATGGAAGAAACCCACGGCTACCAACTGTTCCGTCAGGGCTTGGAGCTTTTACGATGTCTGAAGCGATCCAACCACAGAAGCAAGATGCCGAGCATACAGAGAAACGGCAGACTCTACTGCCAGAAGAGTTGCCTCTGCCTCAGGAGCTAGAGCACATGGGAGCCGGTGAGCTAAGGCTCCTTGAAAGAGGTCTAACACGGCGTCTTGATCTCACCTTGATGCCATCAGTGTTTATTCTGTTCCTCCTGAACATTCTGTACGTTTAGAAAAACTGGCCAAGTACTTCACTCATGCTTTCCCTGCTAACGACCCTCAAGCGATAGGAACAACATAGCAAGTGCGAAGATCACAGGTCTCACAGAGACACTTAACATAACAAATGCCGAATACAACACTTGCCTCCTGATGTTCTATGTCGGTTGTAAGTCGCGACCATGTCGACCCCACAAACCCATCTTGAACCTTCACGCTGACCTAGTCACAAGACTGCATCACACAGGTTCCTTCAAATCTCATCATCGGAAAAGTGAGGCCTTCTTACTACATCTGCCTAATCACCTCTTTATGGGGAATTATATCCATGTGCCAGGGCTTCACAACCAACTTCGCTCAGCTGGCAGCAGTTCGTTTCATCCTTGGCCTAGTGGAGGCCCCCTTCCTACCCGCCGTCTTTGTTTTGATGTCATGCTGGTACAATAGAAAGGAGTTGCCTCCGAGAATCGCGATTTTATATGGAGGAAATATGCTCGCCACGGCATTCTCAGGACTGATCGCCGCGGGAATTACCTCTGGTATGGAAGGCAAGGCAGGCAGACCCTCATGGGTAAGTTTAGAAAGCCAGAACCTGCATCGTGAATGAAAGCCCGACTGATAACTCATAGGAATGGCTCTTTATCATTGAAGGCGCCATGACTGTAGTCATTGCCCTTCTCCTCCTGCCGTTGCTCACAGATTATCCACTACAAAACAAGCATCTCTTCATATCACGAGAGCATCAGCTCTACGCTGTAAGTCCTACATGATCCTAATATGGACACTTTTACCCACTTCCCTTTACTAAACCTTGAACAGGAGTGGAGAATCCGCAAGGAGAATGCAGGAATTGTCGACGAAGACCCAGAGTCGATCTTCTGGGGGCTCAAACAAGCCTTGATCGATCCCAAACTCTACCTTTTCATTGTGCAGCAAATGGCGTTGATCACGGCGCAAAGTTTCAATAACTTCTTCCCCTCAATTGTGGGAACTCTTGGCTACGGCCAAACAACAACGCTTCTCTTGACCTCGCCGCCATACTTCTTCGCATTCATCGTTTCATTGTGTGTATCTTTCCACGCGTCACACAAGGACGAACGTGGCTATCACATCGCTGTCCCAATGGTCTTTGCTCTGCTTGGAAACCTCTTGGTAAGTATAGTAAAACCAGCTTTAACCCTTATCTCATAAACTCACATCGATTAGGCCATGTTTGTGCCATCTCTCGGTGGAAGATATTTCTCCATGTTTCTCATGACATCCGGCTCCTACGCGCCCTACAACCTATGCGTTAGCTGGCTCAGCTCCTCTCTTCCACGGCCTAGAGCTAAACGTGCTGCTGCTTTAGCCATTGTCAACTTTATGGCTGCTGGGGTGGCGCACTTTTACACAAGTTACATGTTCCCTGACAGCCAGAAGCCGCGGTACTACGCCGGTGGGGCAGTCATGTCTGGAGCGTGTTTGGTGTGTGCAGGTGTAGCGTTGTCGATCAAGTATTACCTCAAGAAACAGAATGAGAATTTTGAGGAAGAGGAGCGCTTGGGTGTCACAAGCCATACCCATATCAAAGGGTCAAAAGCTGGGCATGGTGGTGAAGGGGTTGTCTCGTTCAGATACGTGCATTAGCTTCAAAGGTTGCCAGCTAGCATTACCATCGACAACTTCTCCTTAATAACTGCCCAAATCGTCGAATTACACGAGTTGATCCATACTTATCAACGCAGTGCGGGGAGCACCTGATGCCCATTGGATCGTAATTTTCCCTCATTAAGTGATTAAAACTGGAAGATATTGTGTCGTCAACAAGAGGTCAAAGGGCCGAAATGACGGTGAGAGTTTCCTAGCAGACTCAGTTGAGTATTGGAATCTTGATGACAACAGGTCTATTACATGACGTGATATCGTAACCACTGTCAGCACCCACAACTGATAGTCAGTGGAACAAATCAGCAGAGAACGCTACCATTCCTTGGCAATGATTGCGAAGATAGCCGTCGGCAAAAGTTTTTGACGATCGGCTATATTTAAGCTTACTTGCCAAGCGTGGATCCGACCCCACCACTTCCCCTCGATGCCGTTTGGTGACAACGCGGAGGCAGACAGGAGCAGGGTGGACCGACTTTTCCACGGCAAAGACGTACGCGGGGCCCCAAGTTCTTGCAAAGCCGATCGGACATGGAAACTCTCCCGGAGAGCCGGACCAAGCCCCTCGGATGACATATCGGCGTGATGAACATGTGGTAGAAAATGCCTATCCCTTCTGCCAAGACCGGTATCTCTAGAAGGAAGTGGAGATTGCATTGGGTCCAAGTTGTCAACATTCTGCTGATGACAAGCCCCTCTCCTCTTTCGCAAAGCTGGGCATATGTCCGCAGACCCCTCGTCTTCTTTAGACAACGAATGGCATATCTTGGCGTGTAGCCGATGAGCGCTTTATTCGTGTAATTGCCAAGATGTCAAGTTTTTGGCGGGGGGTAGCTGTCTCCATCTACGGGACCATGTGCAGAGGGAGAAAAGTCTGTCAACAGCGGAGGAGCATTTCCTGGGTAGCGATATACATATAAACACATCAACCTATTACTCATGTAGCCATGAATTCCGAACGCAAATTCTCCCACTTCGCCATCTCTATCTGCTCACTTATTTGGGAACAGTATGGGTGTACAAGGACCTCTCACGGTGCTTGTGGCAGCGCTTGGTATTAGCTCAGCTGTGGCATTCAATGTGATTCCTCGCCAGAGCAACGGCACCGGCGAAACGAGCCCTTACTTTTCGGACGTATCTGATTACATCGATTCCATCGTTGATGAGTTATGGCCAATCAATAAGGAAATCCACGACAATCCCGAGTTGGGATATGAAGAGATCAAGGCCCATGAACTCCTCACTTCCTTCATGGAATCCCATGAAGGGTGGAATGTCACCAGATCCATCTACAATATCAGCACCGCATTCGTCGCAGTGTTTGAAGGATCGGGTGAGGGACCTGTGGTTTCCTTCAACGCTGAATACGGTGAGTCTATCACGAACGCGGATCTTTCGCTTCGAGGCTGACTGGTTTTGGCAGATGCCCTACCTGGACTAGGGCACGCGTGCGGACACAACCTCATTGCGACAGCCTCTGTCGGAGGAGCGCTCGCTACCGCTGAGATCATGCGTGCCGAAAGCCTTCCTGGTAAAGTGATTTTGTTTGGCACTCCTGCTGAAGAAAGTAAGTCACATCCAGTGCATCATGCCCTTGACGCAAAGGCTTACCCATACTTAAGGTCTTGGTGGCAAGGTCAAGCTCCTCGAAGCTGGCGCTTTCAGAGACCACAACATTGATATCTCACTCATTTCTCACCCCACGAACAGCGGCGATTCCCCATACATGATCACAACTTCAACCGACCGTTTTGAAGTAGAATACTACGGAAAGGAGGCTCACGCCGCCGCTTCCCCTTGGGAGGGGATCAACGCTCAAGACGCCCTGGTTTTGGCTAACAATGCTATTGCTCTCCTCCGCCAGCAGACGCGGTCGACCGACAAGATTCATGGCATCATCAGTTCGGCCGGAACACGCATCAACGTCATCCCCGCACTTGCGCAGGCTTCCTTCCAGATTCGTTCCGCCGAGGACGAGGCCTTGGAGGAGTGGACCGAGCGAATCATTAAATGCTGGGAAGCCGGTGCTTTGGCCACCGGTGCTGAGCTCAACGTCACCAAGCGCCCCTACGGCTACTCCAACATGGTGTCCAATGACATTCTGGCTAGTTCCTGGTCAAAGTACTTCACCGAGCTTGGTGGTGAGGTTCCCAACGCCGAGGTCGATAAGCTGCGCGAACCGAGTGGTAGCACCGATCAAGGAAACGTCAGCAAGGACTTCCCCACGATTAGCCCTTTCTTTGGAATCACGAACGAGAATGGCAGTGCCCCAGCTGGCGGCCCTCATACTGCTGCCTTTGAGGTAGCTGCCGGCAGTCGGGCTGCATTCGATAAGACCATTATGGTCGCGAAGAGCATGGCTGGCGTTGCCATTGATATCTTGACTGTTGATGGCATGCTTGAATTGGTCAAGGAGGAGTTCGAGGCTACTCAGACGAAGCGCAGAAGACGCAGGTCAATTCATTAAGCCTATAATGCCGGTGTTCTTATTGATGTACCCACTGGTACTCAATGATTGCAGAGTAGCCAAATCTATTTTTGCTGCACACAATCTTCAATGTTGTACTGACTTTTCAATCCGTCTTCTGGACGATTTCTGTGCGAACAAAAATTTTATCCGTCGACTCATCTCTCATAGCACGCCCGCCCTGCATTTCGCCAAACTCGGAACGCCTATGGCTCGCTTTCCTTCCCCCGATGACCTTACTGTCCGTCTCTTTATGTATATCATCCATCTCAAGGTTCTCTTCCGAGTCGGTCATGACCATGAACCCACCAGCCCCTCGCGAGTGAGGCTTTGAGGCTGAGATGAACGTACGAGGTCCCGTCGCTCCAGACTTGCCACCATTGTAGTATTTCGCATGGGGATTGGTTCGGTCTGCACTTGATCGAAGGGTACTGATGAATCGGCCAAAGATGCGGTCAAAGACGGGCCGGAGGATCGGTGACGACGATACCATGAGTGCGACGCCCATTTCAGCTGAGCTCCACACCATAGCGTTCGGCGATGTAAAGGAGAAGTCAAGGAAGTCGACGCTGAATACCGAAGCAAGCCGCAGGGCTCCGAAAATGATTGTCCTGTGAGCAAGCTCATCTATTAGAATTTTTTCAAATATGATTGGTTCGACCTTGAATAGAACGGACTATGGCCAAGCAGCTTTGGGCTTCACTTACAGGATACCGGCTCCGAAGATGCCTATGAGTGCGATTCGGTGCGCACTGGAAACTTGGAGCTTCAGCACCATAGGGATAGGCAGAATGAAGATGATCAGATCGACGATAACATCGACCACGCCCACAGCAGCAAAAGCTGTAATCTGATCACCGCAAACCCCCCCTGGAATCGTTGGATTCCATTGCATTGCGATGGGTCTGCAGATAAGTAACCCAATGAGAATCGTCATCAAAGTCCAAGCAATGCATAAGCCCATGGTTGCCCAAGCCGCAATCTGTTGACCAGGCAGTCGCTGGTTAATGAACTGAGTCTACATCGATATGAGGGGATTGCGATCGCTCTGACGCGGGTCTCAATTGCTTACCTTGAACGGGCGGACAAAGAAGATGCGTTGAAGCATCCAGCAGATGCTGATCTTAAGTGACCCAAGAGACACAGCGTAGACCACTTGACTAGCATACCCAAACTTCATCAACTTCTCAATATGCCACGGCTGGAGCTCGGAGACGTGATGGCCTGCACCACCGAGGAAAAGCACTGAGATTTGTTGGTCAGTCATGCATCGACACAAATGTGATACATTTCTACTGGTGAGACTGAAAGACAACCTAGTCAATGCCATACGTACTCATGAAATGCAGGACTACAAAGGCGTAGAACAGTATCTGACGAATTCATGATCAGTCGATTACCCCAGTGTTCACGGATTTGCCCTCGTTTCATACCAGCGCTACCATGTACAAGCTGTCGTCAACTCCAAATGGAACCCGGCGCATCTTTCGCGAGTACAGACGCAGCCCCGTCCATACTGTGACGAGTGTCACCAACACAATGTTGGTATAAATCACCTGTGTAGCATTTGGGTTTGCTGCTAGTGGCACGACGGTTGTCGTGATCCGAGAGAGGTCCGAATCGACAGCCATTGTCGTCACGCTCTCAAAGCTGTTGTGTTTGTAACAGTTGTGTGGTTGGCGGGGGAAATCAAGTCGGTACTTTCAACAAGACTTCGAATTCAATCCCAGACAGACTTGACAGAGTACGACGGGTGTGGGTATCGGGATTACGTCTTATCCTGTGAGATTCTGCGGCACAGCTATCTTCGTCAAAACTTGCATGACTCCATCTCGGCGGATGACGAATGGGGACCATGCAGGGAGTCAGGGACGCATCTGCATTGAGACGTTGACCCTGGCGATTCTAGCCAAGTCTTCAGATCCTTCTTGTCATGCCTGTGCCTGGCAGCCTTCACCCTCCTTGAACACATTGAACCGACGAAATTGTGACAGGGCTTCAGTATTGGATCATTTGCTTGTTGCGCTCACTCTATCCCATATTGGGCAGGTCGTCATAGTTATGCAAGTTGAGGTCTGCGCAAGCAGCATTTCAGAGCGCTCTTCACAGCACATTGCACAGATTTTTATTCACCAAGGCTGACAAAACACATACAGTGGTTTGCCAGATTTCTGAATCTATACTACCTACTCAATTGAATTCACCTCGCTCGCGACACAAACGAATATACTTACACCAAGAAGGGGGTTCTAAAAGTCGTCCATTCTGCAAACCACGCGTGACATGCAACGCTCCTACCCGAATGGAAAACTTTATTCCTTTTCGCAAGCAATTACCGGAAACCTGGGTTCTTTGACGATAAGCAAGCCATGTACCCGTTAATACGGCCAGCTGCACTCGGGAGGCGCGCGTGGCGGCGCAGCCAGTTCGCGCGAACTTTTCGCGAAACCAACCATCTTCCGACTTCCATCGTAAAGCAAAGGGCATGCCACATCGAATGCCTTCGTTAGACACAATAATGATGCACTAGCTCCTTCTATTGATCCCTCCAGTCTTCAATCTTCCAGCTATCTGCTGTTGTGATTGTTGATTTGCTCCTGGGATTTGTATCTCCCCCCATGTAGTAGGGAGACAAACTCGGTACAGGATGGCGAAGCCCAGCGTGCGCATTCCGGTGTTGCTCCATTATGTCTTGAGGCAACCTGAATAAGTGCCTGAGTCAGAGGACGACAACGTTGCAGATTGTTAGTTACCTCATGTCTGCAAGACACAATTCATCTGCATTGCGTCATGAATCATAATGAAGGAGCAGGTTCTTGAGGGGTATAGGTTAGTAATTGAACCCGATACTTCGGCAAATTGATCATTCGCGGCTTTAAAAAATCGATATTCCAGCCTTGTAAGTCAAACCATAGGGTATCTTGGCAGAATGCCCATGATATTCGTCACATTGCTCGCCTGAGTATTGCTTTTCATCCTAGACAGATCGTACGACCAACGAAATCCTGGAGGACTCATGAGCCAATAAGAACTGTTGTCACCTCTAGGCCCTCTGTTGCTTTGGTGTTGCGCAGTTTTTGAGGTCCCTGTTGGCCAAGCGGGCCTTGTGGGCTGGGCCATGTTGGACCTTGGACTGGGGACAAATTCTTGAGCGCGGAACATCCTGGATGCTCCCGGAGGCCAAGGGTCTCAAACGATCCTGGTAAAGACGGGTGGTTGAACCTGATTGAATTTGCTCCTGCGAGTCGCGACGAAAGTCCAATGTCTCTTGCGACTTTCTGCTTTCCATCGATTTTGAGGATAGAAATGCTGGTAGGCATCACTTGGGCTGTCAGTAGACTTCAGGTGCGTCGCTCACGTTCAGATGATACTAAATCCTATTCTTACACGTACGTAAAGTGTAGAGTGAACTTCAATATGATTCATACTCTGGCAATAAAAATAAGATGGCTGGCTTTTCGTGAGAAGTAACGTTGGTATTGTCAACCAACAAACTTCTTCACCCGCTCATATAAATATCCCTGTCTCCAAACAGCCAAGCCGGCTAGCAGGGATGACGTTCCACATTATATGCGGTTGGAGAGAACCTGCACTTGAGCCTTGAAGACATCGAGGGTTACGTTCGGACATGATTCCCGACCGGTCGTGCGCCCATTGATTTCGGTCCAATTCCAACATGTCAAAATATCGTTAGGATTTTGCAACGTAACCTTATTTCGGTCCTCCGGCCCTTTGAAGGGAGTCACTTCAGAAGCCTCACACATTACTCAGGATGCACAAGCATGGCTCTGCGTGTACAACACACCACCGAGAATGAACGAGATTGCGCATGCAATAGAAGCGGATACATGCAGTCTTCAGACCTAAACCAAACCACGCGCCCGGTTGTGGGTATTTCCTGGGAATCAATATTGGGGAACTATGGCCGAAATATTTCGAAGGGCCTGAGCAAGCGTATTCCTCCTGGCGTTGGGATATAAACCCGAAGCTACATCGCTGTACTTGCAGCCTTTTGGTGATGCTCGAGGCCCTTTCGCTTGGTCCAGACCACCCCCCAGAGTCATTCTTGGCCCCCTTCTCCTCTCCTACATAATTCCGGTTCATCATACATCTGGCACTCAAAAACTACAGGACAAGATGCTTTCAATAGTTTGGGACTACGTCATAGTTGGCGGTGGCCTCGCGGGTTCTGTCATCTCAAACCGCATGTTGGAGTACAATAGTTCCCTGAACATTCTCCTCATCGAGGCTGGCGAAGACACCCGGTCGCGTACCGACATTCTTTACACCAACGCTACGAACCTCATGGGTGGCGAGCTCGACTGGCAGTATCCGACTAAACCTGTCTCCGCGCTCAATGACCGCAGTCTTGTCTACAACCAGGGCAAAGGCTTGGGAGGTGGCGCCGCGATCAACTCTTGTAAGCAGCCATTGAACTTTCTCGAGACTGACTCGAAATACTAATAGTACCCAGGTGGTTATACTCGTGGCCCCAAGGTGGATTATGATGAGTGGGCTGAAATCGTAGGCGACTCGCGATGGAGCTATAATAGCCAACTACCCTGGATGAAGAAGGCCGAGGATTGGTTCAGCACCAACAGTACCGCTCAGCACGGCAATGGGGGTCCTCTCCACGTTGCTTCCGTCACATCCACAGGCCGGTCATACCCCCTCCGCGACGATGTTGCGGGGGCTTGGCAAGAAATCGGAGTTACGGGTTTGCCCAACCTCGACAGCAACGCCGGCGATAACCTTGGTCGCGCCGAGCTCACCGAGACCAGACGTAACGGTCTTCGTGAACTCACACCAGTTATCTACCCCCTGGATGGCATCACGGTGTTAACCGACACTCTGGTTGAGAAGATTATACTTGCCAAGAATTGCAGCAACGGGGAGCTGAGGGCAACCGGCGTTCAGCTCGCCAATGGTACCCAGATTTCCTCCAAGAACGTAATCTCGGCGGCCGGAGCATACCGATCTCCCCAGCTGCTCATGCTCTCTGGTATCGGCGACGCTGAAGAGCTGCAGAAGCACAACATCTCAGTCAGGCTCGACCTCCCCGAAGTTGGAAAGAATCTCATGGATCACATGTCATTTTATCAGTTCTGGAAGCTCAAGAACCCAGAGAAAGGTCTCGCGCTTGGCTCCAACAACCCACTGTTCTCACAGCCCGAGTTCGCTACCGGCTACCCGATTGACTGGGTTGTGTCCACTGATGTCGACAAGACAGGCCTTGCCGCTGCCATCGCCAAAGACGAGGGTGCTGCACCAGATGCCGCGACTCACTCGCTTCTTAAGACAGGCCGAAGTTTCCTTGAGAACTTTATCATTTACCAGGCCTACAGTGCCTCGAACCCTACCGTTCCTTTGGATGGATCGCACATCTACACCAATGTAGTCTCTTTCCTACCCACCTCCCACGGCACCGTCGGTCTCGAATCCTCCAACCCCGCGACCGGACCAATCATCAACCTCAACTACCTTGAGACCGAGGTCGACCGCTACGTCTACCGCGAGGGTATACGTCAAATGACCAAGCTGATGCTGAACACCACTTTTGGCAAGGATTTCATCGCCGGTGAGGCTGCGCCAGATGCTTTTGAGCCTGTGTCGCTTGATGACACTGACGATTATCTCAACTCTCGTCTGGCAGCGGGAGGTGCCACGACGTGGCATCCTCATGGCACGTGCTCCATGGGCAAGGTCGTTGACTCCGAGTTCAAGGTGAGAGGTGTGAAGGGCCTACGTGTGGTGGATGCCTCAGTTTTGCCTGTCCCCATGGCTGCCCATCTCATGGCTCCGTTATATGCCATGTCGGAGCAGGCAGCTGCTATCATCACTGGAAATGCCTAGAGGCTCTGATATGAATATCTAATACACACTTGAGTTCATGATAACAATAGACTTCATCATCGCACTTGCGAGGCTTTACATGATCGATCAGAGAGTACTTCGAGGATCTTTAAAAAAACACAGCACGTGTGACTCGTCCAGACTTTTCACGAGGAATGCATTCTTATGATCGAAGTCTTCTTCAGGCTTTCATCATTACTACATAGACTTCGGAGCATCGCTTCTCTCCAGCCTATCTCTCTGATTCGCTGGAACCAATCTCAAAATGGAGAAACTTATTTCGATTGGTCATCTTGAAAGCAAGTGGTACGCTAATACGCCCTCGTTTCCTATATATTCTCCGCTTCGAAATTCCAGGCGGAACTATAGTCATCGGCAACGAGGCTGGAGGTGAGACTCTCTATGTTTTCTGGCATTTCATGAGCGAAATTTCGTTCGACCACGGCACTTCAGTCGATGTGAGACATTTAAGAGGTTTTATTGATGAATCTAGCTGGATACAAAACTAGCATATCATGACTTCATTGTAATGAAAGTGACCTCGTGAGTCCCAACGTTTTTCACGTGCACTTTTCGGATGGTTGGCAGGCAGCTAACTCTTTTTTCCTCTTCTCTTCTTTTTACTTCTCTTCTTTTCTCTTCTCATCGATCTCATTGTGTATCAATGTAGATTGAGTGTTGAAATACTGTCTCTCGATGGAATCTTGCTCTAGGTCAGCCTCTTTTTCTTTGTCGGTGGGAATTTGATATGTCGAGATATCATTTGTACTCGACGAGTGATGCCCAGAGGCACCACTTGCGTGATGGCTACCCCTTGTGGCCGCAACAGCCCCCTGGGAGGGGTGACCGCCCTGTGTGCCAGTCCCAGTCTCGGGAGGACCATTTCGATATTGGTCATTGCGGCCACCGAAGTATTTCTCGCCCCATCCTTCTTGAGGAGTATGATCGGTGGGCCCTTCGTCGATGTCTTTTTTGGGTGGGGATGATGGCGTCTCGGATGACTTTGATGGCGATGACATTTTTGCTTGACGCCTTTGAGGTCTTGGTTCGTCGCGCGGAAGGAAACGGCAGTGGTCACAGTGAGTTGTAAATTTTGAAATCTTGGTTTTTTTGTTTTGTTTTGTTTTTTTACTTTTCTTTCTTTCCCTTCTAGATGTATGCTGGATTGTTTTTTTCGTTTTTAGACAGTGGAGTGCTGAAAGTGTTTCTGGGTCGTCATGCTCTGCATTTTATCGTCCAGAGTCAAGCACGCACATCGCGGTTTATATAGCAACGACTTGGCATGCACTACAAGGGTTGTTCAGTTGATCTTTATTGAATGTCCCATATACCTACACTTTGTTTGCAGTCAGCAGATGACCCTCGTCGACTTGGTGCATCCTAGATTGCTTGTCTTGAACAGTCGTGTATCTTTGTCATCTAGAACAGTGTTTTGGTGACACAGCATCTCCAATAGGATGTGAATATGGTGCCTAGACTACTCTCGATTGTGGCGGTCGAGAGAATTGAGCAGCTCTTTTTCATTATGACCACCAATTCAGTCTATGTTTGAATGATCCGGCGGTAAACGTATATCATGTCTCGCAGAGGCTGTTCAGGGGCAGGTGCGCAGCAGGATAAAGCGATCTCTGCGGAAGTACGTACATGTGGCACAAGGTCCTTTGTGACAGGCTTGGTCAATCTTCAGCAAACAAAACATCATCCATCCTCTGCGCCCGCTCCTCCGCGTGTACGTAAGGTGGGTCAGCACACATTGCCAATGGATAAAAGTCACTGTTCACGTCTCGTAATGGCTTGTTCCTGGCAGGTGAGAGCATATACATCTGATAAGAGAACAAGCTGGGCGGAAGTGGACAAAAAACACATTCTTATTCAGTTCAATGTTCTGTATTCCCCACCTCCCACGACAAAGGACTGATTTAAGTCATGCCCTGCGTTTGAGTCTGAAGTGACAATCCCAGTTAGGTTTTGCAAATGATGCTTCTTCGTTTCGTGATGCACAGTTTTGATTCAAGAAGCAACCATTGAGTGAATATGAATGACAGGCCGCACACAAAATACTAGTACCCTAAAACTCAGCAGAAGTTGAAATATCTCAGTAAACATCAATAAAGCACGAGATGTGTTTACATGTACCATCCGCCTTCCCAAATTGTACGACATATGCCCCTAGAAGGCTCTGCACTCAATCAAGCCCTTCTCGTAGCTGTTGTAAACGGCTCCATCACAAGCCAAAAACCCCATGGCAGCAAGTGCAGCAGTGGTACCTCCGCCAATCGCACCAACGCCAAGAGCCGCAATACCGCACTCCATGACCTCAAAAATAGCTGACCCGACCAAAGTGTCCATGCACTTGTTACATTCTGTGGCGGGCTGCTTCACGCATTGCCTCTCTTGAGCCTCACGAAGGCGGCGCCTGCGGATGTTGCCGACTGACCCGGAGCGTGCCGAGTTGAGGATGCTCTCGGCGCGGACCAGGTTCTGAGTCTCCATGGCGCCGGCGACTTGTCTTTCCTGCAGACTGTTGGCGTAGACGGCGGGGTCGATAGCTGCAGCGGTAGTGAAGAGACCGCTAAGGAAGACGGTGGTGATGGTGGTGAACTTCATGTTGATAGGATATGAAAGTTGTAGACTTGGTAAAGAGAGTGGTGTGTAAAAAGGAAAGTGGTCTTTTGATTGAAGGACTGAGAAAAGAGTGTAGAAGGATAAAGAGGATGGTTGGTTTGGATGATGATATAACTGAACGAAGGGCGGATGATGGAGTGGTATTTATACAAACATTACAGACTCTCATTTCTGGTAGCTCTCTCTCATACTGAAAGAGCTGACTCCTCAGTGTTCTCTTGTGGCTAAAGTCCAAGATGTGCTTTGCAAAAGCATTACACAGTACACAGCTGTATCACGATCTCTTCAAACCCCGAGCTATGCGGATACTCAGGAGTTACCCGAAACCGAAAACTCACAATCCAGAATTGCACTCTTGGCATATTCATGGCTTAGAGACGGGTTGAAGCTATCACGAGTGCATCGTGTAGTCTTGGAAGCCCGCCTCCATATGAGCTGCCTCTATTATAGTTTCAGACCAGATTGTTTATTCAGTATCGACACCCAGTCAGGTGCTTTACGAAAACGAACTTGGGCGGGGAAAATTGCATGTTGTCTTTACGGCTTTCGACCACAGTGAGGGGAGCTTCATGTAGATGGGCTTGGCGCGAGGCTCATCGCGCCTTACAGCGCCCGTTTGTGCCCTAACAGCAGTGCGAGCGGGAAAAAGGAGCATCTGGCCGTTCCCGACGGACGCCAGCTCTTGGTCCGTGACCGGTGATCCGGCCCAGATCCGAAGACGTGCAGGCCTGCTTTTCCGACCCAGCGGTTTGGAATGTCAGGTTGAGCCTTGGACAAATAACGTTAATCTGGTTTAGCGTGGGCAGACGAGTCATCACCGGGCAGTTTTATCCCAACTCAGCGTCCTTGCCAACGTTAACCTTGCCCGAAAGAACAGGAACCATCTATAATTGACACAACTATGATTTGGTCCGAACTTACTGCGTACCCGTGCACTACGCGATTTAGCCCTCCTCCATCTGGGCTCGACGCATAATCGCCAAGATCCTAAACTCAGCCTCGAAGGTCTGCAAAGGCATCTTGACGAGACTCTTGGCAATTATCTCTACAATTCCTAAGGTTCGAATCTCTCAATTAGAAACCTGGGCTCTGAGATCACGAACTCGTTCTCGCGGAATCATGTCGTTGACGGTCCACTTGCGCTGGACTTCTCCGGCGGAGAACTTCCCTTGTAGGATTTTAGAGACACAGCAGCAAGTTCAGACTTCAGAGGCATCTTGAGATGCTTCACAGGTCTATAAAAGATAATTGAATCCCGCGTTAAATGTCTTCTTTTTCTTCTCTCATCATCACACATTCACGCTTCATTCAGTCTCTTCAACAACCATCATCACAATCCTTCAGCTTCAAGCTTATCAATCTTTACAACTTTCTCTCTTTACCAACTCAACAGGTTTCTTCAACTTACCAACTTTTTGAAATCTCCCAAAATGTTCTCCAAGACCATCGTCGCTGTTCTCTTCGCCTCCGTCGCTGTCTTCGCGGCCCCTGTCGAGACTTCCAACAAGGAAGTCGAGGGAAGACAGATCAACCAGAGTGTCACTCTCTGCAGTGACAAGGGCATGGCTGACTGCGACACTGTCAACTTCAACTTTGGCTTCTGCGGTTAGTTCCGGTTGTACATTTTAATCTTGTTTCTTAGCTGACAGTCTCTAGTCTCTCCCATCGGAAGACTGAACGACAAGGTCAGCTCTCTCAACGCCAACGGCTACAACTGCATCTTTTACAAGTAAGTTCAAAGATTTATACATCCTCAAATCAGCTCAGATTTCTAATCCACTTGCCACAGTGACACTGGATGCCGCAACGGTGGCGGTCAGATCGCCACTACTGGAGAGGTCACCGACATCCGCAGCCACCCCTCGTTCAGCACCATGAACGACGATGTCTCTTCCTTCTTGTGCAACATCTAAGGCCTTCAGTCGCTTACAAGGCTGCTCTTTCAGTCTGCGCAACATGATTCGGTCACCAGCACAACTTGTGTGGTCGCGTGCCAGCATCGTGGCAACCTACTCTCACCTGGAATAATGGTGAGAATGCCTGGGACGGACTGTGGTTTCTAGGGTTCAGTATGATTTGAATAGGTCTCTCTTGGTTCTCGGTAGCTTTTTAGCAATTGATATGTCACTCTACTTCCTTGTCCACTTCAATTGAATTAACTTACGCGCTTGACGCATTCGTTGAGCCATTCCCCACCTAGACGTTGGTAGGATTTGGATATGTCTCAAAGGGAAGAGGATAACTCTCCGCAGAAGTGGCTTCGGGTCTTAGCCAGATGTGATCAATAAAAAAAATTACACCTTCTATTCAATAGCCCTGTATAGATTGTGAGTCCGATAGTAAAGAGATTAAAAAAGACAAAACACGCATAATTTCTGCCACACTCTGACGCACAGGCCATTGGCAAAGGGGCTTGCTTCTTGAGGAGGTCACGGAAATGCAGGCGACTTGGAGAGACACATGCCACACAAATCACCAAGGAATAAGACGGTATGCGGAAGCCGCACACAATCTCAACTTTTATGTACTAGCTCATTTGATAATGCAGTGAGATCTGATAAAAGACAACAGCTTAAACAGAAGATCAAGAGATTAAACCGTTTACGGAGTAGTTGGTGGGTGTTTGCTGCTTACTAAGCCCGAAACCGGCTCCCATCGGAAATCGGAACACCAAAAACACGAGGATGCGCTTTTCGGTCTGAGGACACGTTCTACGAGCAGCTGCACAATTCTGTCGCCGAATTCATTATAATAACGAGCCAAATGGAAATGGCAAGCATGGCAAACAAGTAGTTTGTGGCGGTACTTACCGAAAGAGACGCGTCGTCCGCGGTCCGCCAAGTGCAACCAAAGCTGTTCAACCTTGGCCGTGCTGAAGATGCAGTGTCGAAGGCTTCAATCCCTCACGGTGAGATTTCGAGATCATCAGATACCAGTCGAGAATCAGACGCCCACATACGGCTGAAAACCACGCCATCCTTGCCCCCATGTGGCAGAGCCCACCCGAAAGCCGAGACTTTCAAGTAGCTTGATGGGACTTCCCCCGGATGGAATCACAAGTCGTCGTCGTCTGCATCCGGCCAAAACTGCCACCAACGGCTTTCTCACTGGCCAACAGAGCTGGCGGTATGGAGAATCTCGAATGCACAAACTTCTCACTGTGAGAATTCTGTTTCTCGCTTCAGGCTCCACTTCGCAACAACCCCGCTGTGGATTGAAAGCAGAGCGCTGACAGGTCGTTGGGTTCGAGGGGGCGGTTCGGACTAGCATATCCCTGACTCGTAAAGGGGTTTGCTAGCCTGTTTAATCTTATCAGATGCATCTCCGAGAGCCATCATGGAGCTTGGCGCACTAGTCTAGAGCAAAGAAAACCTTGAATGTGAGAGAAAAAAGTCCTCTGATGGAATTCTCCATCGTCCGAGTTGCTTTCTCTCAAGCCAAGTCTTACGTTTCTCGCCGTGCCGTCTCGATCCGACCTCGGGTTTGCGAACCAACAGAGTTCGGTTACCGTCCGACATAGGTTGGATAAATAGCAAGACGAGCGCTGCTTCGATGGTTGCATTCACCTCGCTCCCTTGTCCTTCTCATCCATCATTCGTGCATTAGACTGCTACCGAGAGACCGGTACTATCAAACAACAATGGCGGCCCGCGCAGATCTCGAGTCCCACCGGGAGAAACACCCCGAAGACCTCGTCAACGAGGTCCCCGAGTCATCATCCTCGGATTCGGAGGACGACCTCAAGCCACATCCCCCAATGTACTGGAAGATCATTGCCGTCATTCTGATCTCCTGCATCAGCTTCGGTTCTTCGTGGAGTTCGGGTATCACCGGCGCCCTGAAGTCGACGCTCAAGAAGGAGCTCGATATCAACAACAAGCAGTTTTCCCTGCTTGAAGCTAGTGAAGATTTCATGGTTACTCTGCTCATTCTCACGAGCGGTATCGTGACGGACAGAATTGGTGGTGCCGGCGCCATGTTGTATGGTGAGTTTTACACTTGCAGCCTCTTCTGAGACAATGAAACTGACGCAGCAAAAGGTAACATCATCTACTCCATCGGTTCCATTATCGTCGCCGCCGCAGCTCAGACCCGCGACTTCAAGCTGATGATCGGCGGCCGAGTCATCCTTGCCCTCGGCGACATCGCAACCCAGGTTGCCCAGTACAAGGTCTTCAGCTCCTGGTTCTCGCCCAACAACGGTTTCGCGTCCACCCTCGGCCTGGAACTCGGCATCAAGAAGATCGGCGGTTTCGTCGGCAAGTCCTCAGCCAACATCATTGCAAAGAACACTGGTAACTTCGCATGGGTCTTCTGGATCGCCGTCTTCATGAATGTCTTCACCAATATTCTTACTCTCGTATTTTACCGCTTCAACACCATCGCCCACAAGAAGTTTGGCAACGTTACGGACCCAGCCACCGGTGAAAAGCTTACTGAGAAGTCCAAGAAGTTTGAAGTCAGAAAGGTGCTTGAGCTTCCGTGGGTTTTCTGGGCCATCTTGTCATTCTCTCTTTTCCAGACCAGCACTGCAATTGTGTTCTCGCAGAACGCCACCGAATTGGCTGAGAAGAGATTCAAGACCGACTCCATCACTGCTGGTTGGTACTCAGCAACTCTGCAGTACGCCGGCTTCTTTTTGGTTCCCTGCATTGGTGCCTTCATTGATCTCCTGGGCAACCGCATCACCTTGTGTAAGTCAATCATGTCCTTTTGAGGATTCTGCCGGTATCTGACCCTTCTTAGTGGCTATTTGCGGTACCGGAGTCTTCCTGGCTATGGCTCTTATCAACTGGGCTACGGATACCAAAGGAACTGCTGCAGCGTTTGGCATTTACGCCGTTGCGTTCACTCTGGGCCCTACCACCATTATCGACAGTATCCGTACCTCGATGTGGCATTCATCTGTCTTTGGCTCCGCTTACGCCGTCAAAATTGCTACGAACAACGCGTAAGTTCTCGATCCATTTCAACCCAGTCATCTTTTTCTAACAAGCAGCAGGATGAACATTATCGTCCGTGTCATCACCGGAGCCATCCAAGATGCCGATAACGACAGCTATGATCACGTTGTCATCGTCTACGCCGTTCTCGCCGCCGCTTCCGTCTTGGTCTCAATTATGTTGGGTGTCCTGTCGTGGTGGTCCATCGATCTGGGCAACCTCCAATGGACTAGGAAGCAACGTAGGGCTAATGGCGAGTTGTGGAATGAGAGAAAGAGGGCTTTTTACGAGGACAATGGGGCACGCAACAAGCGGATCTCTATGATTTGCTTCGGTTCTTTGGTCATGTTGATTCTGGGTGCTTGGTCGGCATACTTCTGGGGTGTCGCAACTGGCAACAACTCTTGAAATGTACACGTATGAAGATGGTGGCTTTGAGACAAGAGCACATAAGGCGCTAGTCAACGTCCGAGGTACCCATGCACCGAGGAAACCTAACGAGGTATCCAGCCAGTAATGTAGGAACTTAATGAATAAATGGTACGATTCCAAATCCATCAACCGCTGCGATGCGTTGAAAATGCCTTTGTCTGCAATGATTGGTCAGGAACATGAGGTAACACGGGAGCTTCACAAAACTTTGAAGCTCTGAAGGTTTGGTTCTGCCGATTGATGTTTGTGAACCGGACTTTGGATCCTAAGTTTCGAGGATATTTCGCCGACTTATCTCACGTGTTGCTTCATCGATGTCTAACTAAACAAGTTGAAATCATAGATACGAGATGATCCTCGAAATTCAGCAAGTGCTGAACCCAATGTGCTGAATTCGGCTTGATAACCGAGTCGGCTCCGATCAACACTGCAGATGCATCGCCTCATTCGGATCCACTCTGTCATCTCCCCTCACTAGGTACCTTATCTCCAACTCAACTTCCCAAAGCTCCATTATCTTCAACACAGCCGTGAGCACGAAGGATTCAAATTAAGTTAGACCACGATAAAGTTGATGCAACAAATCTCAAGTCCCACCACTTGATTCAACAATTTACCTTCTTTCGCTTTTTCCGCTAAACACCATGCCGGGTTTGGCAATCTCGCCGGAGAACCTCCCGGTCCCTGGCCGGGACACGTACTATTGGCTCGGTGAAATCAACAAGGCCAGCGCCGTCATCAACTCTTCAGAAGGTCTCCTGGAACAAGATGCAGCCCGTCGCATCAGCCGTGGACTCCAGAAACTTTTAGACTCGGGCGACGAACCCGGCGCGCCGCGTCCTAGCCTTGTCATCACCTTCGAACCTCTCCTTATCGAAGCAGCGGGTGTTGAGGCAACTCTTCTGCACGCCGGCCGTTCAAGTCAGGACATGCTTGCTACGGTCTGCACGGCAATTCTTCGCGATGCAGTCTTGAAGTTGGCTGCACAGCTTCACACGACAACAACTCGCCTCCTTGAGATGGCGGAAACCCATGCCTCGACTCTAGTACCGAACTACACCAACGGTGTCGCAGCCCAACCCAACTCATACGGCCACTACTTGCTGGGTCACATTGCAGGCCTTCATCGCGACGCGGAGAGACTACGACAATTTTACGCCAGATTGGACCGATGTCCGATGGGCACGACCGTGCTGAACGGCACAAGTTGGCCTCTCAATCGGGAACGCATGGCCAAGTATCTCGGCTTTACGCAAGTAGTCGACAACGCCTACGATGCAGCGCAAATCACCATGGCTGAGATGCCAGTTGAGCTTGGAGGCATTGCCTCTCAAATTGCTCTTCACACTGGCGCCTACATCCAGGACGTCATGAATCAATACGCTCAGCCGAAGCCATGGATTCTTCTTCAAGAGGGGGGTGAGAACACGTATGTCTCAAGTGCTATGCCACAGAAGAGAAACCCAGGCCTACTTAACAACACCCGATCCGATGCATCTCATATTATCACTTTGGGAGTTGGTCGTGCCATACAGGGACATAACCTTCCTCCTGGCTACGGTGACGCAAAAGACCTAGGCCACAATCTGGATGTCATCAACGGTACCACAAAGATTCTCGCACAATGGCAAAGGATTCTCAACGCACTTGTCATTGACGGTGAACGATCTCTGAAAGAGCTAGATCTTGACTGGACCGCCTCTCAAGAGTTGGCCGATTTTCTAATGCGGAAGCACAAAGTACCGTTTCGTGTCGGGCACCACTTTGCTTCAGAGACTGTCAGATACGCCAAGGCGGAAGATTTGTCCCCGAGCAACTTCCCTTATGCGGAAGCTTCCAGGATATTCAAAGAAACCTTGAAGCACACTGGCCTTGAAGAGGGATCATATCAGTTTCTGAGTGAGGCAGAGTTCCAAGAAGCGCTTGACCCGGCTGGAATCATCAAGCATAGAGCCACCTCGGGGGGTCCGCAGCCCAAGGAGATGGAACGCATGATTGGTAAATCGAAGCAGACACTACAAAAGCTTGAAAGCTGGATCATAGAGCAGCAATCTCATATCGTGAGCTCTCTGCAGGAGTTGGATGGAGCATTTCAAGAGTTGCTTGCGTAAGGCTCCCGGGCCCGACTCTGGTAGGTCAGGCCTTTACGAAGATCAAGAATCTAGGATTGCGATAGACTCAACAGTTTTAAATCCCTACTTACTTGAATATGAAAATCTATGTGTCAATATCGGTCCATGAAGAAGTGCACTGGGCGTAAAGGATGTTAAGACGAGTGACTTCTGCATGCCTCCCATAGTAAGGACCACGTGTTTAGCTTCAATTCATTATTCCGGGAGCTGACAAGTTGCTACTTCAGGTCGAATGAGAGACATCGCCCGCTCTATTTTCGCAAAGTCAAGTAACTACATTTTTCCATAAATTCTCAACTTCGTGTTGTATTTTCGCTTAGAATTAGTCTCAAGTCGTCATTGAAGAATCTTACAACTCCATGTCACTGTCAGCACTAGTGATCCGGGATTATCGACCCACGCGGAGCGGATGCCGGATATGTCAAATCTACTGCGCGATAAGTGAGGTCTCATCCGCTAAGATTCCCGAGGTAGTCTTCTCGGCCGCTGATAGGCAAATGATACAATCCTTGGCATCAAAGCTGGTGGAACTGCGTCACCGACAATCTGTTGACATTTGGGCTAGGCTGGTCTTTATACTCGTTATTCACCCTAGGAGCTAGGCGAACGAATCCCACCCCTTGAGTCTATTTACCCCAGTTGGGGAAAACGGAATACAACGTGCCCCTCGCGCTGTGATTGCGAGAATCAATGACATATATACCTAGCTCGGGCTCCCTCAACATCATTAGGACTTTTAGAAAAAGCAACCACGGTGATCAGAATGCGTTTCTCAACTGCCTCCGCTGCTTCAATGCTAGTCGGCGCCGCCATGGCCACCGCAAAGACGACCACCTACTCATACGGGCCCAATGTCCGCCAAGTCTACGACGTCTACATCCCCTCAGCCGCGATCAACAAGACCGTAGCGACCGACAAGTACTGGTTGGTGTACATTCACGGCGGCTTCTATCGTAACTTCGCCCAGAACGCAACAGACATTCTTCCCGCAATTGCTTCCCTCGAAGCAAACAGCTCCGACGTGCTCGCAACTCAAATCGTAGGAATCGCATCCCTAGACTACCGACTTTCCGCACTTCCTGGTGTTCAACCCAATAACACGCCCACGAACGAGCTTCAGAGAGCTAGATGGCCTGATCACCTCAACGACGCCGTTGCCGCGCTGAAGGATCTCAACAAACATTATCCGATCGACGGCAACTACATTGTCTCTGGCCACTCCGTCGGGGCACAAATCGCCTTCTTCACGGCTTTGGAGACTCTAAAGGACCCCGCCGTGCCCAAGCCCGCGGCCGTCTTGGGAATCAGCGGCATTTACGACCTGCCTCTGCTCCATATCACCAACCCCGATTATGACTATCTCGTACTCAACGCCATGAGGGAAGACCAACTAGTAGGGGCCAGTCCATCCAAGGTCGATACTAAGCAGTACGCAGCACTTGACTTGGAGGCATTTGTTTTGGCGCACAGCAGGAATGACGGGCTTGTGCCTTGGGATCAGGTCGAGTCGATAGAAGCCACTCTGGACTCCCTACCTGAAGTAGAGAGTAAGACACACCTGGTCGAACTTGATGGTGCGCACAACGATATCTGGCGTGGGGGTGTGCAACTGGCCAAGGCTTTCACAGAGACTCTAGCTATATTGAGGGCGGGTGCATGAGGTACTCCGCTTATAGCTTCCAATGAAAGAAGACCGTTTGAACAGATGTGTTTCATACTCGGTGCTATAGTTAGTTCCATGGAAACTTACGTGTACCAATTCTGTCTTGATCTCGGACTTTCTCCCACGGCGCTTCTTAGCACACGACCGCACAACGTCGGCTTCCTATCGGACGAACGCTCTGTTTTCAGCACGCAAGGCGTCTACGGGTAGATACATGTAGGCAAAACCTAGCAGGAGCTTTTACAATGCATTTTCTCCCAATCGATTTTGACTTGCAGCTTTGTGAAACATCTTACTCGCAGATTGGGTGCTGAAGACATGCAGTAGCACAAGGCACGCCGGTTTCCATGCCTTGAAATCGCCCGACGGCATGGGATCGGCGGCGGTCCTCCGGCTGTTGGTGCAAGTCAACTCGGAAATAGGCTCAGTGCAGAGCAACTTGAAGAAGATAATTGGCTGTGGTTCCGACGGAGAAGCGAACGCTACCTTCGACGGACATCACGGCGGTTACGTGAGGCAGCGGTTACGGGTACACACTCCGGTTGGTCGTTCCACCAATTGCCAACTTTACCATTACTACCTTACCATAGTTATGTGCTGCGTGCCTAAGGGCTGGGCTGCAGTGTCTCCACGTCGCATTGAGAGTTGGAACTCAGAAAGGCTTTGCAACTAATCGAAATGTCGGCGATAGGCTTCAAGCCTCATTCCACTCTCTCAACTCATCTCTGAGTACTTAATCATCAATCGTTTCGTTTCCGTTATCTCGTCTGTATCATCTCGTCTGTATCATCTCGTCTGTATCATCTCGTCTGTATCATCTCGTCTGTATCATCTCGTCTGTATCATCTCGTCTGTATCATCTCGTCTGTATCATCTCGCACGTAAACTCATCACACCATCACTATCACATCGTTTTCATCTTATTTTTGCTCTTCTTATTCGTATCATCCGACCGGTCCCAAGAGCCACACTATCATACCACACGTGGGCGTGATCTAATGGCTCAGCTTGATTACAACAACTACAAAGTGGCATGGATCGCCCCGCTAGAGATCGAGGCTCAGGAAGCAATGTACATGCTCGATGATGTCCACACGGGCAGATTCCCAGTACGAGAGGGTCAAGACTACCCCTTCATCGCAGGTTGTATGTGCGGGCACAATGTTGTCATCGCCAGCTTTGCCTCTGGGCAAGAATATGGTACAGAGCAAGCCGCCAGTCTCGCCGGCCAGTTGAAGATTCTATTCCCTAGGCTCTGGTTTACGCTACTGGTTGGTGTCGCAGCAGGGCTTCCAAGCCCCCAACGAGACATCCGTCTTGGAGATGTCCTTGTTGCACACTCCGACGGTGAAGTCCCTGCTATTGTGGCTTACCATCTCGGCAAAGAAACATCCGAGGGACTCAAGCTACTTCATGATGGACGGAGCCAACTTCCTACGAACCCCGTTGTGACATCCGCTTTCTCAAAGATCAAGATCCCGGACCCCATGTGTTATATCAACAGATTCCTGGACCACTTTAACGCCATGCAATACAAAGAGCACACGAAGGGGAACTTCAAAGATCCTGGTCAATCGCAAGATAAGCTGAACGAAACGACTTCGAGTGGAGAGAAAGCCGCAGTTCTCCGGGAATTACGGCCAGACAACAGGCGTACGAGAGTGTGGTATGGGCCGATTGGCTCGGGTGACAAATTGATGAAGAATGCTAAGGAGAGAGATGTGTTGAGAGATAAATACAGTATAATTGGTCTAGAAATGGAGGCAGCAGGAGTCATGAACCGTCTTAATGTCGGTGTCATCAGAGGGGTATGCGACTACGGGGACGAGCAGAAGAACAAGGAGTGGCAGCCTTACGCGGCTGCAATGGCTGCTGCATACGCCAAACAAGTATTGCTTGAGATCAGCGTTGTCCCATCCGACGCTGGGCTTCATATTCGTAAGGAAAATCCAGCACTATCAACACATAGAATTGCGACTCATTGACTGGAATAGGAACGCCTGAGGAAGCCAGGTACAACGAGCAGCCGGGATCTTTGAGCTCCAAAACTCATGCCCGGATGCGAGAGCCAGCTGTTAGAAAGCCCGGCTTACCGCCCAGTCCTGCTTCATCAGATATTGAGATGGACTCAGATCATCAAACTGATGGTGAGTGAAACACCTCTCATCCTACATCCTATTTCTCCATGACAGATCCTCTCAATATTGACGCCAAAGCGATGACTGACATATGGAAATACTCCTAGTAGGTACTCGCCTGCGAGCTCGGGCAACGGACATTGTGTGGCCAGAGATACGCAATGAAAGACCGGCTCTAGCATCGAAATTCGTGAAACGCAAGAAGTTTCCAGAATGCCTTCAAGCAAACAGTCCGTTGTGGAACGCTGAAGAGAGACAGTCTCCGATGAAGCTTCTTGTACACGGCGTGACTGGCGTTGGGAAGAGCCAAATCTGTCTGCAAGCAATTGCTGAAAATGAATCCAGGTACACTCTTTCATTCCGTGGAACACATGAATTCATCTAACATACACTGGTTTCAGATTTAGGGCGGTCTTCTATGTTGACGCCAGCAGTAGAAAGTCGGCAAATAGTAGCTACCTTGCCATAGCTGGAGTCAGCGGAACTTTGATAGACACGTCGGGCATTAGCTCCGACGAGAACATCTCTCAACAAATCTCACGCACGAGATTCTGGATGAGCAATCTCGAAGAACCTTGGATTCTCTTCATCGACAATGCCGAACCCTCAGTGGCCGCTGATTTGGATGACTATCTTCCTCGCCAAGGCTGTGGCGTCATCATTATTACGACTATCGACGGGCAGGTCGCTTCATCCTGTGATATTCACGAAAATGTCCGTCCGATGGACTCATGGGATGCCAACGAACTAATTCACAACTTTGTGGATGCCACAAAGGACTTCAGTGAAGACGAGTGGGAGGCGATCGAAACCTTGGCCTCTGAAACGCTTGGAGGGCTGCCGCTCGCTATTGTGCAGGCTGGTTCTTACATTGCCAATAATCCAAACAGCCTGGTGGACTACTGCTACGACTTCCGGCAAGCATTCCAAACAAACCTCGGAGAACTTCCTGACTTATCATCAGGGAGTGGTCAGAGCAAATCCGCTTCACACGCATTAGGCGTCACCATGGCCCTTGTCGAGAACTCGCCCGAGACCATCGAGCTTCTTCGTACACTTTGCTTCTTTCACAATGAGAGTATTTCGGAACAAATTTTCGAAGAAGCTTGGAACAACTTGACGATAGCTTCTCCAGGAGAGTCTTCGCAGTGGGCACACTGGGCACCTCTTGTGCCGCTCTTGGATCCCACAAGTGCTCAGTGGCGCACACCCGGTCTCCGCAAAGCGTTCAATACCCTATGTCGGTATAGTTTGCTCGTCTGCGATGCATCGTACTCCAGCAAGTACTCGATGAACAAGCTCGTACAGACGAATTGCAGGGAGTCGCTCTCAATAGAGGATCGAAACAAGTATGCCTATCAAGCAGCTTGTCTATCAGCACTCGCCTTGGCCAATGAGCCGGTTTCTACGACTGCATCACGGATGGATAACCCTTCAGGTGTCGATCTTCAAAAAGCCATGATACCACATATCGAATCGTTTACTTCAAATGGTTTGATGGGCAATTGGGTGGAACTCGCTGAGATCGAGAGACGACTAGAGATCATGCTCATACTGGCAAACACATATTCATCAACAGGTCATTTCAGAGACGCGGGGGATATTCTGAAGGAAGCCATCGAAATCTGCAAGGATACCTCGGTCCCTGATTCATTGACTCTGCAAGTTAATGAGCAGGTAGCCGACTGTTACTTTCACACCGGCCATCACGTAGAAGCACTGAGGTATCAGCCCGGCGTTATCCAAGCCTATCAGCAGTGGAGAGCAGACTTCGATTATCTCTGGTCTGCTCAAATAAACCATGCGGACTCTTTATGGTCCACTGGGCAGCGGAGTGAGGCATTGGCAATGGCGGAAGCGGCCCTTGCTACGTGTGGCTCACACCACTTGCCCGCCGATGATCCCAAGATGGTACGAACACGGCTTTTGGTGGCAGACTTCCTCCACGGATCTGGAGGCCAACGTCGAGCTCTTGAACTACGACAAGAAACCGTACGGGATCTGCAGAGAGGAGTTTCTGTAATCTCAGGAGAACGTCTGCGCATCCTTGAAGCAAAAAGTGCGCTGGGTGACAGTTATGATTGGGACGGCCGGCTTCTCAAGTCGATGTCATTGCGAAAGAAGGTCCACAAAGCGATGCTTGAGCTCCTCGGCGTCGATCACCCCGACACCTTGCATGCATTCGACCGATTTTCCGACACCAGAAGTCTGGTCGCCCACACTCAAGAAGAAAAGGCGGAGGTGTGCAGGCTCAGAGAAGAGGCCGTGACCTCGTGGAGGCGAGTTCGGGGAGAAGGTCATCCTCAAACTAACGAAGCAAGAGTCAACTTGGGTCACAGCTACACTGCTGCTTCTAGATTTGAGGAGGCTCTCGCTGAGCAGGAAGATGTCCTGGTCATGCGCAACGAAAAGGTGTTCAACGACGCTGTTGCGACTGACGTCTATCTTGTATCCGTCGGTAACGTCGCGGATGCATTGTGGAGAGTAGGCGATATCCAAGAAGCTTACAGTCGTCTGGAAGATGGACTGGAAGAGGCAAAAGTCATGGAAGACTTGGATGCCATATTCTCGATCAGAAGTTACGCTTCGACTTTCCTCTCACGACAAGGCAGAGAAGATTCTATACTGAAGGCTATCAACCTACGGCAGGACCTTCTCAAGGATCAGGAAGGCGCATTTGGTGAGGGAGATGTCAGAACCCACCAGACGCAGCTCCTGTTGGCCATGGATCTCGCCAAACTAGGGATGTTCCCTCAGGCAATCCAAGTCCATGAGAAACTGCTGCAAAGACAAAGCGAGGACCCGGGCGAAGAGAGCCAAGGAACCCTGGACAACAAGAAGGAGCTCGCTTCAGTGTTA